TTGAAACGATCCCTAAAAATCCGTATATTATAAAAAATAAAAATTTTTATACTATATTACATCGATAATATCGTTTTTATATTTAATAAAAACAAATAAATAAAGTTAAAAAATATATAATAGAACTATAATTATAATATTACCTAATAAGAAGAAATAAATTCTAATAGTTTTTAAGTATTAAAATTATACGTAATCGAAATTAAAGAAAAATCTAATTATTTTAAAAGGATACATCGATAAAATTACTAAACTACTTAAGTCCCACTATCGACCAACCTTAATACTTATAAACTATAAGGAATTAATTCCCTTCGAAGGTATTACTAGCTACGTAAAAATATAAGGGTACTAAATTAACGTATGCTCTTTAGTATATACAATAATTAATATTCAATTAAATATTATATTTTTATTAAGTAAACTAAATAAATATAATTATAATCCTAACCTTACTCACTTAGCAATAAGCGAAAAGGCTATATAGTATTTAAAAATAATAAAAATATAAATATTCTACTTTAATAAGAGTAATAAATTCGAAATTACCTTTAATATTTCGTTTACTAATAATAAGAATAACTATAAAAGTTCCTAAAGATTTACAATTAAACTATATAATAATTTAATCTACTGGAGAATAATTAAATAGATTGCAGTTACTACGTTAATAATAGAAGTAAAATTATATGCAATCGAGAAGGTGACTAAAGAAACCCTTCTTTAAATCCGACTAATATCGATATTAGGAGTAAATTTACTAGAGGATCCTATTCTTACTCTATATTATAATAATTAGTAAACTATTAGGATATTTATACAAAAGACGCCTACCTTTAATATCAAGATAAAGTATATAAATATTTATAAATATTGATTAAAAGGAGAAATTCTCGAAAAAAAGATTCTTAATATCGAATATTTAGAAATAAAATTAATACTAGTAAATAGATTAATAAAAATACTAAGTATTTTAGAATATAAGAAATTTAGGGAGTTATTAGGGATAATTAAAGTATTATCGTAGGAAGATAGCAGAGGAAGAGATAATCCAATACCGGGAGAGGTAGATTTTAATAATCTAAATAAAATACTAAGTCTAGAGATATGAAACGACAAGAATAATGTACAAATAATTTCACTTTTAACCTTAAAGAAGAAAAAAGAAGTTTGTAAGTAAGGGGGTATATTAAATTCTAGGGTAGCATTCTGGCTAAATGTGGGCTAGATGCTAGAATCCTAACCACCTAATTTAACAGGTTTTAGCAAATATAGGTTACCCCCAGAACCCCCCATACCAAAGCGCTCGAATTAATTATACAGAACACATAGAATCAATCAATTACCAGTAAATCTGACAAGTGGACAGGCAAACCCGACAACCCGCCCAGCAAAAGCCGGGAACACGGGCCAGAATGAGAGACGAGCAGCAAGAGAGCAAGGGAGAAGCGTGCTGGCGGCGCAATCCGGGCGGGGCGCGACAAGAGGTGGAGTCAAAAAAGAGGGAAAAGGGAAAACAGTGTGGGCAAGCACTGGGTTAGCGAGAGCAGCAGGAGCCAAAGGAGCAACAACGATTGGCCAACTGCAGCAGGGGAAGCGGGGATATCACAAGGGTTAGCGGATAGCAGCCAGCGATGATTGAGCGAAAGCCAAAAGCCTGAAGAGGGTGAATGACAGGAGTGACTGCCACGAAGGGAAAACGAGCCTTTGGTCAGCCAATGAGAGGGCGCAATTACCACTCGATGCGAGATGAGGTAAGTGTCCGCTGAGGAGCAAGACTGCAGTCACCATCTCGTGATTATTTGATGTTAACAGATTCTGGTGGATCGATCCCCGCATAATGTTAGGCATACGAGGTCCGCTGTTAATGCTCCCTGTAACTGGTGGCTACAGCGGGCATGCATCACCAAAAGCCAGCTCACACTCAACCGGGCCAATCACATGTCCTGGACATCCTCGATCTGGGCAAATTATCCAATCAGAAGACAGAACCATAACATTCAAGTGGTCCCGCACCAGTGAGTCGAAACACGAACCCCTTGTCCGGAACTTCCCGTCCTGGCAATCCATCATCGGATTCAGGCTTGCCAGGTCAAGTTGTCAAGATGTTGATGGACTGTGTGATGCCGGTACTGAATGCGCTGTCATCCAATATCCAAAATAATCGGACGAAATAAGAGACGGTACATAGAAGCCTATCTCGACCTCGAATCCTTTGTTCAGACCCTGGGTGCTCCTTCCGCATGCCAACAGAGAAATCCTACCGCCCGTAGTTCAGGCACTTCCCGCTCCAATCCTGGGTCGTCACATTTACAAAGTTCTGTTCTTTTCGGTTGAAGAAAAAACGTGGCAAAAAATGCGACGAATTCGGCACCAGAACCCTTACAGCTCGCCGAGAACTCTCGTGTTGTGTCGGCATTGAAACCCAACCGTCAGATGCTCAACACTTAGATATCCTCTTTGAGAATATCGTACTCGGTTGGATTCACGAATCTGCAAGAGACATCTTCAAAGAGGTTCCCTGTCGATAACACTTGTGCTCCCTACCCCAAAGACGGGCGAGACACAACGTTGTCAAAAAGGAACTTTTGGAACGGACGGTTTACTTTGGCAGGGCTGAAGAAGCGACCACAAGGAAGACCACACACACCACTCCGACATGTGGACGACAGGTCGATGGCCCCTGTTCCTGGCTGCACGTTGACTTGAAAAGCACCACCGTTGATTCTTAACGTCTTCTCATAGGGCATGTTTACATCGAGGCTGCGAGGGCATTTTATGCTCTGATAAAGGCAAGTATAATGAAAACAAACACTGACACAAGTCTCTTCTCCCACCGAACCACCCAGCTGGAACTAGAACGACCCATCCACGTGGTTACCAAACCACAAACATGCATTCTGGCGCAGTCGGTTGAGACGGTGCGGTGCGTTGCGTTCACTTGCGACAGCGGCGGCGCAGTGCAACAACGACACCTTTCAGGTGTAAGTCCGGAGTCCCCCCTCCCCCCACATCGGGACCATCGTCATTTCTCTTCAGCCCAGCCCCAGGCGTTCATTGAGGTTCACGATGTCTTGCTCCGCTCCCTTGTCTACAGGTCTCCATGTCTCCAGGTCTCATCTCAGCCGACCGTTGCCTTGCCACCACGGTCACGACCAAGCGAAACATCTTAACTCCGCACTAGTGCACAACACTAGCAAAAGAACTTTCAACAGCCGAGATGCTTGTCATCCTATCGTCCCGCTTTCCTCTCAAACACAGGCGGATCTGATTCAGCGGGCCACCATCCTCCGGGCCTGCTTGGTCCTGATCCGCGGGCCCGGAGACCAGCTCTCCTGTAACCATTCACAGCACAAACAGAGGGAAGAAAAAAAGTCTGGGGTACAGTACGCCGTAGACAAGCCCACCTTGAAGAGGTGTGGATGTCGTGGATGGCAACATGTTTCTGAATGGTTGAGTGGTTGCACAGCCGCCTCCTTCGGTGGGCGTCCTCCGAGGAAAGGACAATCTGAAACATCGCCAGACCTTGCCAGACCTTAGGGCAAAACGTCGTCCGCAAAAACTGCCTGGTACAATATCCATAGGTTCAACTTTCTTTGTGAGGATGCCAAGGTGAGCGTCTCCTGAATTTCCAAGGATTCGGGGATTTCTGCCCGGTGAATCGACGCCATCTTTCAGCAGTCCAGAACATCTTCGCCGTCTTGGCAGAGGGAAATTCCAGCTTGACATGGCTGTGAATTCATGGATTCTAGAAAGTTTCCACCGTCACGAACGAAGACATTGACGAGAAAGGAAAAGAAAAAGCAATCGTCGTCCTCCAACAGCAATCGCAATCGCAACCGCCGAAAACCTGAAGAGTCCTGCAAAGAAACCCAGCATGCAAGTCAACTGCACGCACCTGCATTTCCGCTTTCTTGGCGTCTATTTTTCCACCACTGCACCTGCTGCCGGTTGAAATGCAGGTGATGATCGCAACGGCAATAGCGACGGCGCTTAGCATTCTTGCTTCTTTGGTTCAGAAGCGCGAATGACTTCGAACTTCGGTCCGGCAGTTGACTTAGACTAGGTACCACTGACAGCCACTGACAATGTTCATGATTGCCCTCATCTGGCGCGACGATGGACTACCTACCTACATATTCCGCAAGAATAGAATACGTGATAGGCCTTCGAGACGCCAGCCGATGTTATCCCCGATCTCCCCGGCGTCAAGCCGTCAACAACGAACGGGCTTGTATTTTCGCTGGATGGCATGGTCGTTTCCCAATATTCCAGACGTCGAAACCCGACATGCTATGTACAGTATGTATTTGTTCCCCGCTCCCGAGTCCCGCCGTTCGTTTCCATTCTCCCGGACGCCGGGACCCGGGACCCGGGACATCGGCATGACCCAAACATTCCCGTGACTACGTACCGACGCCGTTTGTCCTGCCCGACGTTCTGTGTCTCGCCCTGGCTCTATTTATATCCTTGCAGATCGCCGTGATTGGGAAGTGCATCATCGCGCTCGGGGCGGATACTCCCCCTGTGTTACCGTTGATCGCCGGGTCGACTTTGTAGGTTTCGGTGTTACAGTGATGAATAACTTCATGACCGCAGTCACGGTAGTCTATCAGCTTCAAGTATTAAGAAGCCACAGAGCATGGAGTTCAGAGTCCAACGTTGACATCCATACCTACCTGCCAAGTCAGCAGGTGAAGATACAAAACATCGGACGTTCCGACACGATGGAGCGCACAGTCCAGATTCCAGAACACGGAGATTACGGGGACATGTGGAGAACAAAACACCGGGTTCACGGCCTTCTGGAATACGAGTGCCCAATTTTCGGGCGGCCCGGGGATGCTGGCCCAGCTGAACTTCTGGAAGCGCTGCGCCCCCCTGAATTGCGGAGCCGACCCGCCTTCGCGAATCTCGGCGCGGCGCACGGACACGGTACGGGCGGGCGGGCGGGGGGCCGGATACTCGGGGCGGGGCGGGTCAGCGGGACTACGTTTATACTAAATACCCGACATGGGATGATAGGACGGACCCGTCTTTGACGACGGCGATACCGACCGAGTAAAGTCAAGTTCTTCCAGACTTGTTCTTATGTTCAGACTGTCACAAGCATTCACATCGAGGTTAAGGATGAATACTCACTAACATGACCGTAAACATTGGTTCATCCCATTCATAACATCATTACCGCACTACAGCTATCCTATTTCGCACCCTTCCCAAACAACGCCTCCCTCACATCATACCCATACTCCACCGTTCCATGCCAATAATTGACCGTATCAACCTTGGTAATCCTCCACGCCTCATCCAGCGCCTGCACCACCTCCTCGGGGAGTGGTCCCTTTTCGAGATCCGCCAGATTGCTATCCAACTGATCGATGCTGCTGACACCAATAATCACACCATCATTCCCATCCGTGATCTTCAGCGCGCTGTGATGCACCACCCACCGCAACGCCGTCTCAATCATTGTGAGTCCAGCCTTCTCCACCGCCTGCTCGACCACCTGCAACGCGCGGAACGTGCTCTCCTTGAAGTACCTGCCGCGGTACAACACGCCCATCTTGTTTACGTCCGAGAACCGACCGGATTCGGGAACGATGTCGTGGGACTTGATTTTGCCGCTGAAAAGCCCGCCGGCGAGCGGGTTGTAGACGACGATGTCGAGGCCGTAGCGGCGGCAGGCGAGGACGAGCTCGGTCTCGAGCGAGCGCGTGATGGCGTTGTACATGCCTTGGTATATGGTGGGGAGAACCCAGTTGTTGTACTTGCATGTCATGACGATCTCGGCGACTTCGAACGAGGTGAAGTTGGAGATGCCGAAGCGGACGAACTTGCCGGCTTTGTGGAGGGCGTCGATGGCGGAGAGGGTTTCGGCGAAGGGGGTTTTCCGGTCCTGTTTTTTCGTTCTCTTCGTCAGCACCCCTTGCCCCTAGACAAAGGAGAGAAAGAAAGGAAGAAGAATACTCACAGCAGCATGCAAATACAAAATGTCAACACACTCCGTCCCCAGCTCCTTCAAACTAATGTCGGCGCTCTCGAGAACCTTCTCCCGCGTGTTATCTCCTCCGTTGGTGGGGTAGATGACCTTTGTGGCCAGCGTCAAGCCGCGATCCTTCCAGCCCGCCTCGCGTGTAAAGGCTTCCTGTTTCCCGCCGATGTACATGCGCGCGGTGTCGACTTCGTTGTAACCCCGCGACTGGAAGAGGTCGAGAACCTTGCCGAACTCGGGGACGGTGGTGACGCGCGCGCCCGTCTCGGTGTCGGTGCCGAAGGTCATGAGACCTAGGATCACGCGCGGCTTGGGGGATTGGGCGATGAGGGGCATTTTGGCGGTTGTTTGAGGGGTATCTGGTTCGGTTTGGGATGGTTAGATGCTTGATCTAGAAGGCAACGGTTGTGGGGAGCGATGGCGATGTTTATATGGTGTTTGTTGACATGCAAACACACCGCGTGAGGGGTTGCTTGGGGGAGCAGCAGCGCGGAGGAGTTAGTGATTTAACCCCGCTTGTCTCCGAGCTGACAAATGCGCAAATCGACTCACCGGTGAAATAGTGACACAAAGGGAACAAGAAAGGTCTCAAATTGCGAGGAGATTCGAGGAATCGAAGGTGGTGAAGCTGTTGATATTATGTTTTGAAGAGGGGTAAGGACGGACTCAATGACGCCATCAAACGCCGGCTCAGAATGCGGGAGGATGCGACCCGCTTGGAACCGTGCCGGTCCCGATTCCGGCAAGTCCGGCAACCAACAGCGGGACAAGACCGACGGATAGTGGGCTCCGGCTTTGTCTCGTCCGAACTTCGACTTCATCCAAACTTCTATGTACTTGGCTTCCATTCCGATAGTCCCACGCGTTGCGTCACAAACTTGCGATGAGATGGGGGAGAATGGGCGAAGTTCTTCTCGCTGGCACAACGTGCGTGTTAGCGCATCCACACCTGACACCAGCTTCAACGGCAGAGATCACTAACACAGACATTTCTCCTCACATTGCAACTGAAGGAAAGGATGTGTCTCTACTCTAAAGTTGTCCCCCACCAAAGTCTTCGTTCTTAGGGTATTTAGCTGGAGGATTGGCATTCCTCCCGGGTTTCCTTTTCTTCTACCAGACCAATCAAACTATCAATTCCTCCTCATTGGTTTCAGCCACGATCTCAGATGGAATTCATGCCTGTCTCTTTCCCCTTTGAGTCTTTGACGACCACTTTCCAACATCCCCAAGTGATGCTCAGGGATCGTACTGAGACAGATCCAGCCACTTCCCACTATCCGTCAGCCGCCATAAGCATCCAGGCAGCAATGCATCAGTGGAGATGGAGTCAAGATATTGGGCAGCCAGTTATGGGCTAGTTTGACGTCACAGCTGAACTTCAGATCCTCCCTCGCTCCTTTTCCTAGTCAGAACATCGAAATTCTTAAGGACTGGTAAGCCTGCACCCTCTTCACCCTCATTGCTTACACGAACCAATGCAACTGACCTTCAATGGCTTCCCAGGACTTCAGGTTGTGCATATTTTGCCGAGAGCTCGAGCCGGCCTCAACGGCCTGTCCCCTCGTCAAGAAGTCCCAAGCTGAAACCAACCAAGCGGACTTCTTGGGATCAGAAGACCAGTTCAACGAGCTTTCCCCTCTATCCCCCTCAGATGAGAGACTGTTGAAGCAGCTTCAAGACAAGCCCAGCTCGCTCTGCAAACGATGCACCGACTACAACCCTCTCAGAGCGTTCGAGCTTGCAGAGCCTCTCCCGTCTGGCCTCCTTCCCGAAGACGACGATGGATTCCGGGACTACTTCCTCCGTCTGAAGGCCTCCGAACTCGACTTAGGTGAACTCGGATCGCTCACCTTATCCGCCTCCTGTCCCTTCTGCCGTCTCATTTACCGCATTATGCCCACCAAAGGAATACGTCCCGACACCAAAGGCATGAGACTCACCCCCTACCGTGCCTATGTCCGACATACCGGCTGGGAGTACCTCCCCGAGAAGACCAGGGCCCAAAGCGCTATCTTCCTGGGCTTGCGCCATCTCAGCCATATTGTCCACGGCATTCAGGTGCCCTTGCTCTTTTCGGATGGCGAACCGGGGGTTCGTAGCCCAGAGATGACAGGTCCGGCCATCTGTCTGGCTACTGAAGACACGTTTCCTGGCCGGCAAGAGTACAATGGGCGGTTGGTTGAGCCCTTCGTCGATTTCGAGTTTGCAAAGAGTGGGCTTGATGTGTGTTGGAAGAACCACAAGGAGTATTGCATTTCCACTAAGCCCGAAGAGCTCTTCACAACCAAGATGATCGATGTTTTTGAGCGCAAGGTGGTTCCTTACCCGGAAGGATGCGAGTATGTGGCTCTTAGCTATATATGGGGCCGCGTCATGCCGGAGGAAGGGGCTCTTGAGAAGAGAACTCTGCCGCAGACTATTGAGGACTCCATCACTGTCACCAGGAAGCTTGGTAAACAGTATCTTTGGGTGAGTGACCTCGTCCGCTCCGTCCACTGAGCCCGATCTGTTGTACTGACAACGGCACAGGTCGACGCCCTTTGCATCAACCAAAAACCCTGGAAAACACTTTCTGTCCAAGAGCAAGCCGAAAAGACCCAACAACTCGCCATGATGGACCTCATCTACCAATGCGCCGCCGTAACTCTCATAGCTCTCTCCGGCCAGGACTCCAACGCTGGCCTTTGCGGAGTCACCCGCCCCCGGGAGATGCAGCTTCAAGAGACCATTAACGGCCGCAAGCTGTTCACCATCCCCGCTGTAGTCGAAGACGAAATGGCTGCTTCCACATGGGACACCCGCGCCTGGACCTTCCAGGAAGGCATGCTCTCCAAGCGATCCCTATTTTTCTCGGACAAACAGCTTGGCATCTCGTGCCAGCGCTCCGGAGCCCCAGACGCCTATGATCCGAGCTGCTATAGCCACTTGTCGAACAGACCTATGGATTCCTTCAGGCAGTTGATGAATGGGTTTAACCTCACTGACACCAACGTCAGTTCCCCCTTCTCGTTCCCCTTTTCGCCGCTTCCCAGCTAACAGATGGACCCGTTAGATCTCCGTGACAAACCCACAACGCATCCTCCTCTACACCGGCCTCATAATGGACTACACCCGCCGTCAAATGTCCCGGTCTTCAGACTCCCTCAATGCCTGTCTAGGTTTGCTCTCCGCCCTCCAGCGCCGGCTCTTCCCCTCCGGATTCGAATGGGGTCTTCCCCTGCGCGAACTGCCTCTTACACTAGGCTGGTCCCACGATTGGGCGTTTCCTGAACCCAAGAGGCTTCAGAAGGACTCCCCGCCGTGGGATATCGCCCGCCCGCAAAGGCGAGAGGGGTTTCCGTCGTGGAGTTGGTGCGGTTGGGAGGGCCATGTGACCTTCGGCCAGACCTCTTTGCAAGATGGCTCGCTTGTGACTGTTGGAAGAGGGCGGGGAGGGCGGGAGGTGACGAGTGATATGGTTCCTGAGTTTGTCGGCTGCGAGGGGAAACGACTAACCGTCAACGGCTACGTTTGCAAGTTCTACATTCGTACGGAACCATTCAGCGAAGCGTTCCTTACGAAGCCGGGGAATGAGGGGGAGAAACCGTTTGGTATCGTCTCGGAGAGGAACTTTCCTCATCCATATACGTTGAAGACGGGGGAGTATGAGGGTTTGGTTGTGGAGAGATTGAGGCACACACAGGACGGCAAGTTTGTGAAGGATACAGTGTACATGATTGTGCTGGATTGGGTCCAAAGCCAGGATGGAAGGGGAGAGGTGGCAGAGAGGAGAACGTTTGTTAGGGTGCAGAGTGATGTTGAGTTTGAGAAGGTGAAGCCGGTAAAGAGGGTGGTGCATTTGGAGTAAGGCCGACAGAGGTTGTTAGTGTCCTTCCATCTCTTCGGCGTTAAGTTTACCCAGTCGAGCCAGTGCATGATTGAGCTGGTCCCGCCAACACATCATTCTCGCACCCTCAAAATTGCAACAGCACAGGAAATATATGGTGCTCCCCGAGCGACACAGGGTTGTTTTAGTGGCGGTTTCAGCATTTTGGCTTTATAACGATCTGTAATCATCAGAGAGTTGTGAGGTCATCCCGCCCCACAGGCTAGGTAGCGGACCGAACTATTGACCACTGCCGAACCGGACGGACCCCACATCCTCGGACTTAGGAGTTAATGTACACATTTGAACTGCCGTTATTCTCGATATTTACCCAATGTCTTCGCCAAATCTTTCTTTCAAGCTCAACTCACATCATCAACCATCACTGCACCATCATCACGATGCCCTTCCCCTATAAGACCGTCCTTATCACCGGCGCCACCTCGGGCATCGGCCTCGCGCTCGCCGAGCGCATGATCAACAGTGGTGTCTTCGTCATCGCCGTCGGCCGCCGCAAGGAGCGTCTCGACGACCTCGTCAAGAAGCACGGTTCCGACAAGGTCGCCGCCGAACCCTTCGATATTTCCGACCTTTCTGCCCTCCCCAACTGGGTTAAGCAGTACGTTTTCTCCCCCCATTTCCCCCATTCCCACCCTCCCTTCCTCCCGTTCTCCCACTAACCCTCCCACAGCATAACCACCACCTACCCCAGCCTAGACTCCATCCTCCTCAACGCCGGCCTTCAAAAAACCCTTTTGTTCACCAACCCCACCGCCATCGACCTCGCCTCCCACTCCGTCGAGCTAACAACCAACTACCTCGCCCCCCTGCACCTCATCACCCTCTTCCTCCCCCACCTCATCTCCCTCGGCCAGGCCGATCGTCCTGCCTCCATCATCGTCGTCACCTCCGGCCTCTCCGTCATCCCCCTCCCGCGCTGCGCCAATTACTCCGCCACCAAAGCCGCCGCGCACTCCCTCGTCTGGTCCCTTCGCGCCCAGCTTACGGGCCCCGAGGCAGAGCACACAAGGCATATCAAGGTCATCGAGGTCATGCCGCCGGCGGTCAAGACGGAGTTGCATTCGATCCAGAAGGACTTGGTGGAGATGGGGCTGGGGGATATTGGAATGGAACTGGATGAGTTTGCGGATTTCACGTGGGGGGAGTTGGAAAGGGGGGAGAGGGATGAGGTGTGGGTGGAGGAGCAGAAGGGGTGGAGGGAGGTGGATGGGAAGAGGAGGGAGGTTTTTGAGGGGTCTGTTAGGGCATTTAGGGAACAGGGGTTGAAGTTTTAAATAAAGGTGGAGGGAACGAAGTAATCAGAGGGTTAGAGGAGGAGACAAGTGGACAGTGGTGGACGGTGACTGCAAGGTTACCTCTAGTCTAGGAGGCAGCACTGCAGCCCCTGGGAGAAGCACAGAGGACGAAGTACAGGGTTAGGGCTGGAAAGCAGGGGGGGGGGGCCACTTCACATTGCATCGATGCGTGTGGTTTGAAGACTGGATGCCCCTGAGTTGAGAGAGATAAGAGATGAAAGTCTTGATCAAGCTCCTGTGCTGCTAGCGCACGGCCCGCCAGCCTCTATGTTGTCTATATTGCAAGTCTATATGCTATGTCGTGAACGAATGACATTTCCCGGTCGTTCCGCCGACCAGAAAGGGGGTGTTTTTGGACTTGATTGCCCGCAATCACGTCGAGACCCGAGTGACCCAAGAAAGAGAACGTCGATGAAGGGATAAAAGACTTTCGTGTATTAGCGGAGCCCGTGAAGAACGCAGCATTTGGGACTTACGTGACGGCGACAATGTTGATCATATCATTTCAGCGCCTTTCCTCTTTGGCTTATTTCCCAGTGCTAGGACCGGCAGGCTTTGGGCCTGGTGGTTTCTCGTATGCGCCGCGCTTCTCGTTGCGGCAGATGATGAACGTGGCCCTGGAGGTCTCCATGTTTCTGACTACGGTGTGCATGTGGTGGGTGGTACTGCGCTTTGGTGGAGGATGTTATCGGTTTGGCAAGAGGAAGGAACCGACCGGCGGTTTTTGGTAATAAATGGGCTTGGTGAAGAAAGGTAGGACAGAGGAAGAGAAGGATAAGAAAGAAGAACAAAGTCTGTGGACTCTGTGGAAAAGAACGCCGCCAAAGGGAGAAGAGAATGGAACTGGAACACCGATGGAAAGAAATCACTGAGGGAACAAGAGACAACGGAAGAGTCTTATAAAGATTCTTTTTGCGAGGCAAAACCCGACTGCCGGAACTCGAGCCGTAGAAAGGTCCATATTCCAAGTTCTTCGGGGTCTCCGGTCAACAATGCATACCGTTTCGAAAACCATTGATGGTTCCTCTAACAACCGGACATCTGCGTTATCTTCAAGAAGTCGCTTTCACGCCAAGAACAAGATATCACAACTCGGAGAGAGAAAGCTTCCAGAATAGATAGTTCCAAACTGACAGCTCATCTGGAAGGTAAAACACCAGACAAAGAAACCATGTGCTTGGCCACCACGTGTATGCAAGCCTCATTTCCCCGACGGCCGTCTGTATCCACGAGCTGAATGAACTCAATAACGTGGGACTGGGACATGAATTGTTGTTTGCATGCGTGCCGTGTGCTGTGGTTGTGGCTTTGTCACTATGAGACAGAGCCGTGCTTTGAGCTCATTATGCCAGCAACCCAGACTCTTTGAAAGTGTTGACTACCTATTGACAATTTAAGTTCAAACCGGCCCGAACCTTTCTTTTCCAAGCTTCCCAAGAGTTCGTCTCTGTGGGATGTCGATGTAGTGCTCGTGCTTGGAGTTACTAGTGTCGTCTCTGGAGGTATTAACATGCATGCGGTTGCATTTCGTCTGGCCTGGATTCCCGTAGAAGGATTTGGACATCGGCGCATGTACACGGAAGAACTTGGCATTGCCTCAAGGCTTCTTGTCATTCCAGCACCCTTCGCTCAAATGTACCGAGCTCTAGAAAGGCGGAAGAATCATCGTGATGTGGTGCCTGGACTGTACTAGAAGCAAAGCAAAAGTTCCCTTGCAAACCAGGTCCAGAAGCTTTCATTACCCAGCCAGATGGTTGGCTCCGGTGTATATAGCTGAATATCATCTCTTCCATCCCAAATGCTTGTTACACGACAGTTAGCCCTCCCCAAGAGCCTTGAAATGCAGAGTAGTCACAACCTCCTCTAACCTACCTAAAGTGTAGTAGTTCCATCGACGACTTGAGTATCCCAAGAGTGTTATAAAGACTGACGACTAACTACCACAGAACACAAACACAAACCTCAAACCTCGAACCCCAGCCACCGCCATCATGTGCTACGTCCTCTATCAAAACGAGTATACCTTCGTCTGCGGCCACAGCATGCGCCACCTCAAATCAGCTCGTCAACGAAGCGCCTGTCTATACAACAACTGCTCTGCCGTAGAGTTTCAGACTTCTGTTCACGGGACTCCTTTTTCTTACCCTTGCCAACGATGCATCACTGAGGGAAGGTACGTGGCCAATCCGGCCGCTGCGCCGGAATACCGGACTGGCTGGATCCCGCAAATCGGCGCTCAACAGGGTCAGGACCAGGTGCAGAGACCTGCTCTAGAGCGGGAGGATGTACCGGTGCAGCAAGCAGTACCAGTACCAGTACAGCACCAGCAAGCACCAGCACCAGTACCAGTACAACATCAGCCAGCACCAGCGTCAGTACCTGCCCCTGCAGAGCAGGTGGTAAGCGTCAAGGATGAGGCAGAGGAAGAAGTAGAAGGGGAACCAAAGAGGGACCTCAAAGAAGATATAAGGGACGACGTGCGGGTGATACTGGAAGAGGAGATAAAGGCCCTGATGGGAGAAGAGGTGCATCAGAACATAATAGAAGAAATAAAAGAGAAGGTAAAGGGGAACGTCATGAAGAAACTGAGAGAGGTACTCGTAAGGGAGGCGGAGAAGATTTGGAACAAGGCTGGAGAGATCTTGGAGGAGGATGTGGCGAAGGTGGTGGAAAAGGTGAAAGAGGAGGTTAAGGAGGAGGATGTTATGGAGGTGGTAGAGAAGGTGGAAGAGGAGGCTGAAGAGGAGGTTAAAAAGGAGGTGGAGGAGGAGGAGGAGGAGGTCAAAGTGAAGGTTGAGTCAGAGTAGCGGCGCCCTTTAGATCAGTCTGGTTAACTACCGGGGAGCGGCAGCGAGAATGAGATAGCTGGGCCGACGTGTTGTTGCTAAAGAGTGGCGGAGAGCCCGAAGTGAATATGATGCGACACCATCCTCGAGACGATTAAATTCTGTGCATTGGTGTTAGCGACGTAACAGGTGCTGGACTTGTCGCTATAAATGGCGATTAATTAACCGGAGACATGTTTTCGATCGTGCAATAGCTGCGAGAAAATGCCATGGAGCCTGTGTATGACATTGAAGTTGGCATTTGTGAAGCGAAGAAAAGAAGTAAAGGATGCATGATGTAGCCCGAGACAGTAAGAAAGATAAAGGGGGGAAAGATGAAAGAAAAAAGGAGGCGCGGTCGTTCAGGTACAAATACTGTCCCAGATGGCCTGTGCAGCACATCGGCGCTTTTGGCAATCCCAGTTACCCAGCTATCAGCTGCCCCGCTAATAAGAAAGGGCAGGCGATAATATCGCATCTTATTCAGCCGTCGCAGTCGTCACCCACCATTGCGCAAGTTCCCCCTCTACTACGTAATCATTGCAATTCTCGAGGGGCATACTCAGCTTCTCTTTTCAACCTTTTCATCGCCATGATTGCTTTCTCTTCCAATTGCCTTACATTCCGCCGTTAAGACTCCGGTGACACCAATGATCAACATAGAATCCGCTCCAATCTGCGAGTGTCGAGTCGGCCGTCTGTCCCCCGCAACCACAACCATGTTGGAGGTTTGGAGCCATGTTGAAGACAGTCAACTGGGTCATGATACATGCAGGTAAGAATTGTAAACTGCCTGGAGAGAGCCTAGAGCATATTAATGTTACAGCACAGTTGCTGACGTATCACAAAATGTCTCTAGATGAGACCAGACACCTCTTCTCCGCTTCTCCTCAACAAATATGCCAGCTTCTATTGTCTCCAATTGTGGCAAAGCAATCATCGTTGTAGTACCCAGCGGTGGATAGCCGAGTTCAGGGCAATTGATAGATCGCTCGTGGAACCCGAACACATGCTCCTTCGTGCGAGGGCAGCGATGTGGATGATGGCCAGGCACACGAGACGCCAGTATCCGCCATGTTTTTCCGACTACTACCCGGCCTTGTGCTTCAAAGCCAGAGACTCGGTTGGGCTTGATAGCAGCACACCGAGACTGGACGTGACACCCTGTTGTACACACGACGACACAGCCCTTGTGTCTTGGACACCTCGTTTACTCGGTGAAAGTTGCGCAAGTCACATACTCCCAACTTACAGGTAGCAAGGACATGCAGTTTCAGACCCACCACTTTTTGCAACAACTGGTACGACAAGGTCCCGTGGTTATTTTTTCTATTGCTGCGGAACTCGACAGGCAGATAAATTTGTGTCTGGTCCGCCATTTTCCTGGCGTTATCGCCAACCTTGTCCCCCACTTCTTCCTTTGACTGCTTTATTGCCTCCAAAGCCCTTCTAGGTCGTGATGCCGACCGCCGAGCTAGCCATGGAATCCTCATCCGAAACAATCCCACTCCAGACTCAACCTCAGCAACAAGCACTCTTTGCCGGTACCGCGACAAATGCTACCCCCGAGAAGGGTACCGCAAATCGTGAAGTATCAAAGTGGAAGCCAGGAATTGTCAGAAGATTCCCAATCTTTGGTCTCATCCCTATGATGTTGAGCATAGCTTGTGAGTCTCACGTTTAACTGCCTCCGCTAATGTCACTCTGCGCTTTGCGCACTGTAAGATGGTTGCCACTAATTAACATGCTTAGGCACTGCAATTGCCGTCGCTGTTATTCTCTTGAGTGAGGGTACACCAGTGGATGGATGGTGGTCCGGCGTCAGACAACCTGGCGTTCTCTTGGCTTATACCTCGACAGTTGCTAATACTTTGATGGCCATATCTTTCGTCAAAGGGTCTGTGGTCTTTTTCTGGACACAAGCGGTAATGGGAGAAATGAGAGTGGGTGTTTCGCGTTTATCCATTATCGCTGTGCTCTTTGGAGTGACCTGTCTCTAACTTCTTTTCGGAAAACTATAGATCAGTAGCTTACATTACTACTGGATGGGATCTACCGGTATTCTTGGGGCTCTCAAAGCGATCTGTCTCAGAAAAGCTACTCGCGTTAGCCTCGGTAAGTTGGCATCTCCTTTCCCCCAATATTAGCTTCTTCAAGCTGGGTTGTTTGGGAGATACATCAAAGATTTTTTCATCAGATATGACACTAGCTAACTGGGGATTTAATATTCCAAGTGTCCAATCTTAGTCGCAATTACAACTCTCCTTCGTGGCCCTCTGATACAAAGAGCCTCCTTTGTTGTCAACGTGCCAGTTGCTGGAGGCACGATCGATCTGCAGGTGCAGCCAGATATGGACAATGATTGGGGCGGGACCACAGATGCAAGCCATACGCAGGTTTACTTTCACCCTCACTTCTCAACTGTCATTGCGGAGTTTCTGTCCAAGACTCAAATTACCATTGGCGGGGAGAAGTGTCAAGACTGCTCTTTTGAAATTCAAGTGAGTACAGCCCAAGAGTGAGTGCCATAGCCGCTCACAAAGACCACCACCATTTAGTGCTTGTTCTTGTGGGCGTTATGGTTTAGAACTTCAAATAGACCTCAACCATGGCGACGTAACTGACCGTCTGTCAAGGCTTTTGGCTTTAATGTCACGAACTGTACCTCGGAAGCCACGGATAAATACGACTTCGCGGACATTGACAATTGGGGAACAAGCATCACCCTATTCAAAACCAATGTTATAGTCAGCGACTCCTTCAACTATGGAAAATCGTTGACTATTACCGCAGTACGAAAGAACACCCAAGATTGCACTGGTCAGCTGATTGAAGAGGTATGTGAGCTTGTTCCCGCGTCAATCAACTACCATCTCAATCTGAAGGGAGACATCGCAACGTTCAAGTCAGACAATTGGAAAGACGACTCTGCCTTGAGACATTTGTATGTATTACCCAAGCATTTCTTCCATGGCTTTACTTTGTTGATTCTGATCAGCATGTCGAACAACCTACAACACCTAGGAATATGACTGTGCCCTCACCACCAGAAAACAGTGACTGGGTCCCTACGGAAACCACCATACTGCCGCTTCAAAGAATCGGACAAGCCATTTTCAAGTCAGAACTAGAGGTAAACATGTCATTTACGGGATCATCGCACACGTGGTCTTCGACAACTGCCCAGGAACAAGTCCTACCCAAAATCTTCTTCGCAGGTAGAAAGAGCTTAGAATCGGATGACTACTGTTTAGAATACTATACGAGCCCGATGGACTATATTATCAAAAACTATCGCGAGCTAGCCTTTCGCATCTCCGTCCGCGCGGGGGCGGAAAAGAAACTGAACCAAACGGTTCCATATATCAGCCATCTAGTCCACGCAAAATACGCCGCTAGCGTTCCATCGCTCATTCTTGGCATCATAATCAGCGTGCTTGGGCTACTGGCGACACTGATCCTTTTCTGGGGTTGGTGGAAGATGGGGAGAAGCTTTTCGATGAGCCCGCTGGAGCTCGCAAACGCGATTCTTTGCCCTGGTCCGGATCCTTCCACTGAAACAGGAAATGGGGACATTGAGCTCGAACTCTCAACAATCTTTGCCAACTGCAGCAGCAATGCTTCAGCTGAGAAACTGGCAAAGCAAGTCGGTCAAAAGGTTGTTGAAGCTGATAGGAAACAACTAGAGCCAACGTTGCAGTATGGTGTGCTGGAGAGTACGGGTCGTTTGGCTTTTGGCTTTACCAAGTCGGGGCTTGTTCGGGAGCCAAAGGAAGGGGAGTTGCTATAACGTGATGTCTTCGCTGAAGGAAGAGTGGTGCAAGAGTGGTAGCGAGTTTACCGCTTCCTTTCACTCTCAAGTCTCTACCTGTCATCCACCGATTGTGCACATCAGGCATCATATTACCACAAGACGGCTTGAAACAATCACATCATCTACGAAAAGCGGGCATTCACAAAGAGCATCTTCACATGCAAACTTGATCTCAAGGACAACGCACTTCTCAGTTGCAATTTCCTACGCTCTTCGTGCATTTCTACATTCATATCTTCAGCGCAACCAAGCCAAATCGACGGTCTCACCCCTTCCCACTTCCCTGCAACAAATCAAAGACCCAACCAGCTACCACCTACTTCTCGACCTTCTGAAGCTTCCCTACTCCCAACCACTACTTGTTCTTGACCCACACTCTTCTGAACCGATCATACACCCAAATTCTATTGTCTCTACAGGACCTGCACGGGATGGACGCATAGTTACGCGGAAGAGGTGATACCGCACCCGGCGGGGATATGCGGGCGCTAGGAGTCTGGGAGGTAGAGCCATGGAAGGTCCTGCCTCTGGTGAGGGTGTGTCCGCACAGGAAGGTGATGGTGATTTGCCGGATGGGGATGGCGTTTGGGACGGCGTTTGTGGACATTTTGTAGACTTGCGAATGGAAATCGGGGTAATGTTGGAGTCTGGAAAGATACGGTGGGAGTAGGAATGGGTTTCTTACCAAGGGGAAACGAGGAAGGGAGGACTTAATGGGCTTTTTATGGGAGTTAAAGGCAAAGGAAATGTGAAGATGGCTTTGTGAACCCCAGAGAAAAGGCCATCATGACGCATAATTAGTAGGCAGTAGAAGCGGGGAGTGACCAAGATTGCGTCTACTTAACAGTCTCCAAGTGTCGATACGACTTGGAGCTGGGAATAGGTTGAAACTTCACTTCGAAGAGCAAACTTGAGGTCTTAGACTTGAGATCAACACCATACTACGAGACTGTTGCTTGAACTGAGCCATAGAGTGCTTGTTTCAGGTGGTCTGAGCCACTGTGACGTTGTTTGCGTATCAAGTAATTTGTCATTGAAAGAGCTTCATCATTGACGCATACGTCGTAATGATCGTTCCCCTCATGATGAGAGAATGAAAGTGATAGCGAGGTGATAAAGATCACAGGCGACGCTGAGCAAGGCACGATCAGGTGTTCTGGACAGCTAGGTGACGCACTCAATGCTCAACGTTGACAAGAACTTGAACTGCTTTAACACGATGTGCAAGAGATCAAAAAGGGAGATAAAAGTAAAAAAGAATACCCCGCCAGGGACTCGAACCCTAGTCTGCGGCACGATGTATAGTCGATAGCGTTTGCGAGTAACCGCCGTGTTAAACCGCTACACCAGCGGGGTTTCATTGTATTTGTTAATATTAACAAGGAAAGAGGAAATCTATAAAGCGTGGTTGGTATTGTGTGTCTATGTACGGTAAAGACGGAAGGTGCGGGGTTGATTTGCTCTGGCTGGCTGGTCTATTGAGGATTTGACGAGGAAGGAGCGAGTCAGCGTTTCATGCGGTCACTGATAAGATTGCAGATGCTGCATGCCAGGCTTTGGACCCTTTCATGGTGAGCAATACACCTACTTCGCTCCAGAGTCGGAAGCTCAAACGGCCACTCCCTGCGTCACAGACTTCATCTCAGAACGCCTTCAAGCTTCCACCAAAAGCAACCATCCAACAGTTCAGAAGTGAAAGACACGTATGACCACCTACAGGGAAACGATGACACTGTTTGAGAGACTGGTACACATGTGCCCAGATTGGAAGGCGTCGACGCACACTCGTCTTTGGCACTGTTATCATGCTCTTGAGAGATTTGAGAGTCAAGATAATGGCACAAAAGCAAGCGATACGATGTAGTTGTATGACTGTATTCAGAGGGAAGACGAGGCTACCGACGGACGCGGGGAGAAACTTGATAAGTGAGTGTGGTGATGGGAAGTTGGACCTAGCCAGCAGACAGGCGGCTGGAATCACAAGACATACAAAGTCCCAATACCTGCCTCACATGATCTCCATACTGTAATCTCCATACTGAAGGAAGTCTGAACAGCGTGACCTTCACCCATTTGAAACGTTTAGTTGAAGTTGAGGTTGAGATGGAATAGGTGTGAAGGCTGAAAGTTTGGAGACGCATCACTCTATACCAGGCCGTGCTTGGAGCGCGAAGGAATTAAAGGTTTGAAGTACCTAGTTATTAGACGTTTGTAACGGCCTAGGCCCATGACCGCTGACCTCGAAGGTTACCTTTAGTCACCTGTACCGTCTGGTAGTTGTAGGCACGGATAATAGTAAGGGCGATATTGGAAGTCCGTGCCCTGGGTGCCTAAGGTATTTACTGAGGTGGGCTTCCTATTCACCGGCACTATCTTCCTGGTATTTCCACTTAGGCTGCCCCGAGGTTTCTCTTTCTGCAGTCCTCATCCGTTGTGCTCCAAGATCACACACTTTTCTGTTGTCGCGTTCTCGCCTCCAACAGACAACAATTTAGACCACAGACAAGTAGTTGGTTCGTACTCGTAGGACGTGGATTCTTTGCTCTTCTTTTCTCTAGCCACTGACAAGTAACAGGTCCATCACGCCCTTTCGGTGCGCTATCGACACTCGGCAGCGGTCTGGTCTCCTCGTGTCCTCAGCAGCAACCAACCACAACAATCACGACTTCGGTTACTGCAGCCAGCAAAAGGCACATCTACTTCAGCACTTTCTCCCTACCTACCGCCACTCGCTCGCTAGGTACCTTACCTTGATCAACCTCATACATTCAATCCCCAGGTATAACCTCCACGTAAGTGTCTCTCCACACACTCCCACATACCTGCCTCTGGTCACCTCACGCTCACACCTCCAGTCACTTCATTGACAAGTCACAACCCTACCCACAACCTCCCAACCCCAAGCAAAAAAAATGTCCAACCGCAACTTTTACAACCCCACCCCCCCGTGGAACTCGACCTACCAGTACCAGGACCACCCCGCCGGTCCGCTCCTCTACGTCTGCGGCCACATGTGCGCCGTCGGCACCGCGCTGTACTGCAAGCCGGAGGATAAGGACAAGAAGCCTGTTTTGTCGGACCTCGCTCGTAAGGACTGTGTAGAGATAGTCTTTCCGTGCGGAGAGTGTTACGACTCTCAAGCTTGGGTGTGGTGTGACGAACCGTTACAAGCACAGGAGTATATCGCTGGGAATAAGAACAACGGTAGTAGTAGCCAAAAGGTACTGATCAATTGTGAAAGCTATTGCTTGCTGAAGAGCCGTAATATAAGAGGCCTGGGGAGGCCGTCTTATATACCGACCTTCAGAAGGGCGCCGCTGCGCCGCTATTACGGTTGCGGCTCTGCGGCGCTCCTGATTGGTCTATCTAGCTGCTTACATAAGTGATCCCTTATTGGATCGTAACATGTGGCAGAGGGGTATTAGGAAGTGGGTTAGGAACGCGATGCCTGTCGCTAGAGTTCCCGTCGATAGGGCTTTTCCCGTCGTCGCCAGGGCTCCGGCTCCCTTCGCTATGGCTCCTCCCGTCGCTCCCGTCGCTAGGGCTGCTCCCGTCGATAGGGCTCCGGCTCCCGTCGCTAGAGCTCAGCAGCAGCAGCAGCAGCAGCTTGAGAAGGAGAAGAAGCAAAGGAGGGCTTGGAGAGGAGACGAACTGGATCAAAGAGAACGAAGGAAGGCGGTGGAAGAGGGGTAGAAGCTACGGGCATACGGAGAAGAAACCCGTCAATGCTAACCAGAGGTTCTTCTACTATCAATTATGGTCGATGAGATCGTAAGAACGTGTTGGTATTAGGGGTAGCTAGGTAGCCTGAGAGCTCTCTAGGGCTAGGTACGTGTAGCAACCTCCTTAAGCGATGGTATTTCTTCACTTCGAATTACCTGACCTTCACTTATCGATGTGGCAATATTTCAGGAAAGGTTCGACGCGTGCAGACGAGACAGTAAAGAATGGAATGGAATTTGATAGCTTTGAAGTCGTTTGAGAGGTAGACACTAGTTCGATTGTTCAACGTACGACATATCCTTTCACAACAACCATACGGTAGGTATGTTTGTGATAACCTATATGTGTTGATAGCCCAACCACAAAGTGAACTTTCAGGCTGGGTACAATACACGCCCAGTATAGTAAGCTGAAATCAGGGCATATGCACTCCAATCCTTGACTTGGACAGCACCGCAATGCTGACCGAAAGAGGAAATATTTCTCGAAGAGTCTTAACCGATCAAGTGAGCGCTGGATCCAAGATCCCACTGGAGATCCACCTGGTGGCCGGCCGGCTTCATGGCCGTGCTTGTGAGGCTAGCTGTAAACAACGATCATCAAAAACCAAGAGCCCAAGAAGCGGATATCCACCTATCATCTCGATCTCTTCCATCGCTCATCTGATCCAGTGATCAGTCACTCATCGAGATTATTGATCACACACATGATCACGCCTTTGCTTACTAGGCGCTAAAACCTGCCATGCTTATCTTCCTCTGCTTGGTCATCCATGACATTGATACGAAAGAGTGCATGTGAGGTTGATGTTGTATGTAGTACGAGCGTCAGTACTGCTTTGAACTCGAGCGAGGCCGGAGTGCCAGAGCCGGTCCAGCCGGAACCGCGTACTCGTCGATCTGCTAAAACCCACCGCTGTGTAAGCGCTTGAGCTGTGACGCGGATGTAAGGTTCTATGTGATAACAGTGCCGTTGCTGTCCCTGTATTAACCGGCCGCAATCGGAGACAAGGCGCCGCATGGTCACATAGCCGCCGGCGTACCGACTACCGTGCCGTACTTGAACAGCTGGGTAGTTCCCTGTGTTACTCGGGAGTGAGATGAGTGACCCCAACAGGGGTACCAAGACGAGCACTTTTCCCTGTGGGTTAGGTCTTATGAAAGAGGCGGTTGAAGCTCGTATGACGTATGAGTGGGACGGAGATCAGAGCTTATTTCTCACGAGTGCTTGTGACCAGAAGCGTGGAAGCAGTAGGCTAGCTGGTCCACCGGACTATTGGCTGCCAGACGAAAATTTGCGAACCTTGCCCGTGGATTCGGGTTTCGACCAAGTAGAGGAGAGAGGCACATGCTCAAAAGGATGCGTCGCGAGCCGCCTTGAGTCCCGTGAGCGTGATGGTGTGGGTTCGATATCCAGCTCCCCAAAACCATGCCGGCACTATCACAGCCGATTCCTGCGTTGTCATGACTCGGTACTCGGGTTTGTGAAACATGAGATGCCTCGAATCTCACGGGCCTCATGCTTGGCTAGAATACTAGTCACGCTGGGAAGGCTTGTCGTAACATGGAGGACTTGCCCATAGGATGTGTTCTGTGGTATATGAAACGAGGTTCACCGCTTCGAGGCTCGCTGAAAATGCCTGAGGTAACCATACATTAGCCAATGGTGAGCAATACCTCGTATCGTAATTCTTGGGCAAAGCTGTTCGGTGCCACTCGTTGGAGAGATGCTAAGGAGAAGATGATGAACGTGGTGTCAGAACCGGCGGTCGGAGGGTAGCTAAGCTGTGTTGTGATGACGAAACGAAATCTGAGCCGTATTGTTAGTGGGCGGAATGGGCATAGTCACCGCTGACTGAGCTAATGGGTGTCGTACAGCTCGGCTGGGATGAGATACGTATGCGGCTCTTCGAGATCACCATTGTAGCATTTGTGGCCACCGGGAATCTGGATAGCTCATGGTGCAGGACGATCGGAACGCAATGTCTCGTGTTGGTGGACATAGTTCGCGTCGTCAATTCCATTTCCCTGCTGCCTAATGGTCAGAGAATACTTTCAGGCAAAGATTATGGTATACGCAATTTCTGGCTGCGCAGCCTCAATGCCCGGTGTACATCAGTGGGAGGCAAATTTGAGCCTCATATTGCCCCCAGCTGAACTCAGCTGGACACGGGACTTGAGGCGGCATCAAGTTGTCGGTCAAGGTACGTACCGACCTGACTTTTCCGCGAGAAATCCCACCCCCATGTCGTATTCCATCCAGTCATGGCTTGTCTTCCGAATGAAGTCATATCAAAGGTTCCCCCAGCCATGTATAAGGTCGGCGGTTTGGTGTTGTTGGAGATATGTCCATGTGGTGGTTAGCCGCTGAATCCACGGTCTGCAGCGCTGTTTATCCCTGGCTATGCTCTAAGCTTTTCGGTTGGGTACCAAATGGTTGGATATAACCAATGGGAACCCGCGAATCAAACAAAGAGCACCGAATTGGGAAGGATGTGGTCGTCAATTGCCAGTGGGCACATTTAACCCATTATACGGCCGTTAACGGCACGTTGCAACGACGGCGGGACGCCTCTGTATCGGTATCGTCAAGCGCCGCTTCGGTGCAGCGGGATGTAGCTTTGGGGCGAGGTAGAGAACTGAAAGCGGTGTCCCTAACAAAAGTCAACTGATCTGATCCAGCTACTTGTCAAGAAACCTGACGTACCGTATCGCGTGTTTTGGTGGAGGCTGGGTGATTGACCCAGGTTCAGCAGATTGGCTAAAAGGAAAGCCATTGTTCCTTAACATGATGTTAGCAATCGGCTGATGAAATGGCGGCCAAGTCAAGATGCTTGTATGGTTACGTGGACATTCGCAGAAAAGGAGATTTGGTGTTTGACGAGGAAACATTGGGATGAACAGATCCGGGCCAGTCCCTGTAGTCCCTGTACGTTGGTAGATGCCCCACTGTGGTAGAGCAACTACCGAAGGGTCAGCAGGCAACGACAATCTTCCGTCCCGTAATTGAACCAGAGTTTTCAACGTCAGCAATATGTGGGACATCCAAGTGAATGTATCCTGGTAAAACTGGACCTCGGATTAGGAGTCGGCTTTTGGAAGACAAAGTAGCGGAATGATGATGTGTAGTAGTGGTCTTCGTGACGGCGAATATGGTCGCCGAACCGCGGTCATGGCTTTGGAACTGGGAGAGAGGAGTGCCTGATGGCATAGGTACTGGACAAGGGGTCGGGAATTGGTGCTGTCAAGGGGTGTCTCATAGGGCTGAAGGATGGTGAAGAGGGTGTCAAACTGTTGGCAAATTTCGGACCGTCGGACATGTCCCGGAAACTCGCATTGAAGATGTGAAATCAGAATTCATACAAGCATCCCGTGTGCATGGTAAGCGACATAGACGAGCGCCAAATGTCAGCATCTGATACACGTTCCCGCTGCTGTTGGCTTGAGTGCCGCGGGGTCTCGGTCTCGGTGTGGCGAACTGTCACTTGTGAACTGAAGTGTGACTAAGCAGCAGCAAAGGTCGTGATATCGATTGATGTGTCATGGCGGGGTAAATGAAAGTAAGATTTGCGACGGCGGAGGAATCGTGATTTGGACAAGAACAGTCCGAGGAGGAGCCCAGATGTCACAATGTCAGTTTGGTGTTTGCGATGAGGAAGTCGTCGTTGAGGAATGAGCGCCTGGGAGGGCTGCAGGTGGAATGGCGCAATGTGGGGCACCTTGACCGTTGAGGAGGCGCCTTAACCCGCTAAAAAGCACAGCACTAACACCACGACAACAGAGCAAATATTGCGCATCTGTCTCCCGATCGTTTAGATTGTTCGAGATAATGCCAGACCGCTTGTTTAGATAGGTATCCAAACATAGTCCATGGTGGCGACTTTTGTTCCCAGATTTTGCGGCTGGGACACGTTCTTCAGCTGCCAAGTCAAAGGCCTCCCACGGATAATTCCGGCCTGAGAGGAGATCTACACCACTAACACGCGAGGACACGCAGGACACGGTAGAAAACAACGGTTGGGGCTGAAGACTACTTACCTGCCACCTCACGAGAAACAACACGACGATCACGAGTGTTCGAGTGTGGTGGCTCGTGGGAAGGAGCACCCATGGGCTAATTAGCCCCACCGACAGCGTGCATTTGAAGCTGAGGTTGGGGAAAGAGCCCCTCTTTTCGTTTTCACTCGGACCCGACCAAGGTCGGACTCTTCCCACTTCTGCCTGTCCAGCCGCCACGCGCCTGTTCAACATGATACTTCGCATTCTGTACGAACCATGACCCAATCCCTCCTCATGTTACGTTGCCCAACAGTCCAGCCACTGTACGCTAATATCGGTTGGCGTTTAGTGCCCTGTCTCTCCCAGGGAATCGGTACATCAGTGCCGCCGCCGATCCAGTGACCTAACCGCTCGGCCCATGTACCCATCAGTCGATGATAAGGTCTCAAGGCAACAACACCAATGATCTGGGAACACTGGGCGTGTTGAACGTGCTACTGCATACAGACGTCTGTGCACTGGACACAGTGATCTTCAGGCGCTGTACTGTCTGGGCTTCCATCAACACCAAACTGTCACCGAATCACTGTCACGGTGCCATCAAAGCTTCACATCGGCGACCTACTGAAACCCCCGCATTCTCCTGATGTCACCCATACTCGTTAGGGCTGAAGTCCACATGTCTGGTGAAATGAGCCAGGACCAATGGAGCATGGGACATGCCGGGCAAGCTGGAATGACGATGGAGCACATCTCTCGGGACTTTGTCCTCAGATGCCCTTGCATGGATTGTTCACATGAAGCTCGGGTGGTTGACCTATGCCAAGCTGAAGCTGTCTCTTAAGCAAGGGACAAAGGGCTCATAGGGCTGGGAGTATTTGCCGCCTATCACAGAAGTATGCCTGCTTGCAGCCTACCACGGATTTGCAAAAGCCGGCTAGTCGACATGTCACCGCCTGTATGTTCGCCAAATAACTCGTCAAAGCATAGGGTACCCGTTTCTTCACCTCAACCACCGACCAGCCCAATGCCCGAGACACGGTCGATATCGGAGGTCCGAGTTGGGCCGCCCGTTTCCTCGACCCTTGTCCCATCCGAGAAAGCACGAGGATGCTGACAGTCCCTTGATTAACCCATCTTCGTTAGTGCGATCCAGCCCCTGCTGAGATGAGATGCCCCTTGCTTGTGACCCATGTTTTCTCTTCAAACATTTCTCTTTCTCCGGGCAGTCTTCCTTTGGCGTTACACCTCCACGCGTTTGCCATGACATGCCTCCCAGATGCACACTTGCATGGGATTCCCTGTCCGTCTGAAAAAAAGGGCTGAGGCAAGAACAGACAGGCCAACCCATATAAGACGCCATGATCACCCTTCAACTCAAACGTACAAGTCCCCATCCTCGGTATCCTCTGCGGTTCTAGTCTTCCACAACCTGCCGTCGAGCTCCAATACGGGTACTATTCCTCGGATTCCTTTACCTCCTCCCTACAAAGATATACGCTCTGAGCCCGGATATACCAGGACCTAGGTTGTGGTGTTTCAGGTCAGAAAGGTGGCAGTCTCTTCTTGCACAGAGCACCAATAGGTAAGTGGTCGTCGAAACAGCCTTGGCCAGGTCAAGCTGAGTCGCTAACAGTGGTATCCAGGCTAAGTGGACGTCTTACATGTATCTGGCACGTCCACGGTACCTACAGCTGGCCAACCACCGAGTGCGAATCTTACAGTGGGCATAATCCTCACTTGTGCGCTGCGCTTACATCGGGTAATCCTTCGACGTGTCTGTCAAGAACAGGCACTGTAGGCATGCCCACCATCAATCTCCCCGCCGGCAGTAGCACGCAGTTGGAGCCACGTCCTGCACATCAGCATCATCTGCGATCCTTTGCTGTCGATGCATATTTGGGCATTGCTGTCACTCTGGTTATCGTCTCCATTTGGTGTTTCAAACCCCGACGGAGATCATCAACACCTAGTTCGGCGAGTTACGGGAGCCAGCCAGACGTCAAGGAAATCAAGGCGTCGTTGTGCTGTGCAAAGCTTGTTAGGCCAGAGCTCACGGAAGGATCATATCCAAAGGAGTCCAGTCAATACCTAGTGCTCGCCACGCCCTCCTCGGTGAACGAACTGTCACATCCACTCTCAAGTGCATACACCAAAGTCCCGCGCGCGTCTGAGCATCTACAGGCGATGGATGGCCATGACAAAGGTCAACTCAGCGATCGAAGTGATCCCGAAGCAACAGCATCACTTGCTGTCAACAAGAAGGCCAAGTCAACCTCAAGTTCAAAGTATGAGGCATGTCTCTGGCCGCAAGCGTCTTCCTCGGTTTCGATGACAGGGAGTTCGACTCCCGATCGGCTCCGGAAACATATGCCACCTCCCAAGACCTCTACCAGTACCGAAGGAACAACCAGCTCAGGTTCAACGAGTAGGGAAGAGGGGAGGGGAAAAGAACATCTGCAGACACAACACCGTCAGATAGATGGGATTGGGACGTCAACTGCGGAGTCTCTGAGCTATGATGGTGTTCAGAGGCAAGATGACGGGTTGCATGGTGTGTCTGTTGGTGAACCTAGACTGCACTTCACAAGACCTCCACCTCCGCCACCTCTGACACCGCCAACTCTCGACAAGACGGCCTTCGCCTTTCAAGATCGTCGGCCCACCTATGCTGCATCAGTTCCACGAGGTTTGGATGTAAGCTTTATCCATCAGCCTAATCCAGACTACATCGGTCACACCTCGTCTGTTGATATCCTCAGCTCGAGTCCTGCCGAGGCGACGGGGATACCGCGTCGAAGATCATACACGAAGAGCGTGCCGGTTGGCATACCTATACCCACCAGCAGCTTCTCATCATCAACTGCAACTACTGTAACATCTTCGTCAGCATTTTCTCCATCCAGCTATCCGTCATCATCACCACTGTTCCCGCCACCTCCACCAGTTCCCCAAGACTATCAATTCGTTGGAGGACATGTGGGACATCGCGCTTCGGTCGGCAATCAGCACCAGGACGAAATCGAGGTTCATGGGGAAATCATATCTGTTACCGATGACGATGGCCACGGCTGGCAACGACACACGCAAGTGTATGGTGGGGGTGTCTGCCTCGCATGTCTTGCAAATGGAGGCGGATTCTATGGTCCCAATGTGCCACTCGAGGATCGACGATATTAGCCCTGCTCCAGGCTCACCGGGAAGCCCATACCAAATGAAGTCCCTTTTAGGTTTTGGAGGTAACCAGAGCCTCAGCCGCCATGCACTGCAGGCATCCAAGCACATGGAAGACCGCACACTGTATCCAGCGCTCAGTGGGGTAAGTCGCTTCCGGATCTCTCCTGCACCTCCCATAGGCTGCGTACGGTATTCACTGCATACAGGCGGTTCTTTGGGAACATTAGCTGTTGAAATCTACTGAGTGCACAATAATACGAGGGTAGATGAGTAAGGTTGAGAATGCTTGAATTGGTTAAAGAAGAGAAGAAAAGAAAGGAAGGAATGCACGGCAGAGTTTATCCTTATATAGCTAGATATATGAGTTGGGGAAATGTGTTTGGATCGATATGTAATGTAGGAATATTAGTAGTATATATAATTAATATTCAATACTCCTTCTCGAACCAAATAGGGTGAGAAAACGAAATTATTTAGAATATATTGGGCACAGGCTAGTAAAAAACCTAATAGGTAAAAAAAGTCTATATTATCCGATATGAGAAATTAAAACGTTTATATTTATATAAAAAAACGGATATAATTCGTTGGGTATAGGAGGTATAATAAAATTAGTAATAAATTTAGAACTAGTTTGTTAAATTAAATAAAATAATAATAAGAATGATGTGAAAAAATTAAAAATAACTGAAGAAAGTTCGTAAATCGATTTTTAGTAAATATTATACAAATGAATTTTATAGAAATCGAAAAGTGGTAATTTAATTGGTTTAATTATATATAATTTAGATTAATAGTCGGTAGGTTTATAAAGGCAATTAATATAAAAAACCCGAAAGATGGTAATAATTGGATAATATTAAGATTAAATAGTTTAATATATAGGGGTATATAATGGAGTATAGAGTATATAGGGTATTGAAGCTATTGAAGGTAATTTTATTAATAGAAGTAAGGTAGTAACGGGGTATTTAAAAATAGATTTAGCGAAGTTTTAAAGCGTTATAAAATTTAATGAATTTGCTAATAGGTAATATTTTAATTAATTTGTTAGCGATTTGCTTCTTAATAAAAATATATTTAAAATCGACCTCTTTGAAGGCCTATTCTTCGCGGTAGAAGAACTCTTATATATTAATATACTGTATCTTGCGTAAAGTTTAAGGTTCTTTATTAAAGTTAGAACTCCTTAATTATTATTATAAATAATAGTTATTAATGCGGGCTATTCGTCTAATTCTTTTAATAGCTGTTATAGTTAAATTATTTCTTTAATAACTTATATTTACCCTATTAGTTCTACTTTGTATAATAATAAGGCTATAATAGTTTTTCTTTTTAAATTCTAATTAATAATAGCGTTTCCGACGTTAAATATATAGCTGGAAGTAGATTGTCGCTTTTAGGAATTATTACCTTAGTCTACATTTATAAAATCAATTAGAAATTCGTTCTCATTTTTTAAGTATACTAATTTAAATCCGATAGTACTACATAAGTATTTAAAAATCCGTTTTATTACGCCGATATACGTTATAGTAGGTTTAATTATATATTAATTATAAAAGGATATAACGAATATTATATTTAAATAATTATTAAATATTATACATATTAATAAACCGACAGCGTTAGCGTATTAAGTTGTAATTTCATTATTGACTTTAAAATCTTTAATTAATTCTTTAATTTTAGACGCTTATATAGGCGTCTTATTTTATTTAGCTTTTTAAAAGTCCGAATTGGTTAATAATCTTCTTCAAATATATTTTCTAAAAGAGGCGAATAGTACGATTAGGGCGATCGCGAATACTTTTTATATTTAAATAGAATGAAACTAGACCTATATTGGCTATTTTAAAGCGCTTACTAAGGGTATCCTTTAATAATTATACTTCGGGTTTAAATAAGCCAACAATAAGTAAATTATTAACGTAAATTATAATATAAATATATTTTTTAATAAATACTCCGTCGTTTATATTAAAGGGTATGAAACTAAAGTATTTTAAAAAATTAAATAGTATATTATATTAAATTCGTAGTAACTATTTTAGGCTATATAATACTTTACTAAAGCAATATATAAATTTTTAATCCTAATTGAAACCCGGAGAGTACTCCATAAAGATTTCTTCTTTTACTTTACTATAAAGAAAAGTTATATAGACATTTATTTATTCGAATTCTAAATTAATTATAATAATAATCATAAAGATTAATTCATAATTTAAAGACTTAATTATAATTATAAATATTTTATTATAATTAATACCTTTTTATTATTTAAAGCCTTTAACGACCTATTTAGCCTTATATTATATATTTTCGCCATTAATACCAGTCTTAATTTTATATATTTATTTACTAGATAGAATACGGCGTCCGGCGGGTATTAATATTAAATTCTAAATTTCATTATTTATTAAGGACTAATATTTATTATCTATAACTTACTTTTAATTTAGCTAATAAAGATCTTATAACGCTTATAAATAATTTTTCGGTTTAAACAGAGTATTATAAATATTATCATTAGTAATAATATTAACGAAGGTATAGAATAACAAAATAGCAGTATTAGGGTTTAATATTAAAAGCAGTAATACTTATAATTTAGGGTAATAATTAATAATATTTTAAACGTACTGTTAATTATAAAGGTTTAAAGCGCCTCCAATAATGATATAATCTTATATAAGTAACGATAATAGTGAAAATAGCGGTAAAAATAATAATTTTAGTAAAGCCAGCGGCTTAGGGGTCTTATTAGGGGCGGGAGTAATAATAAAGATAAAATCCGATAGTTTAAGCATATTAGAATTTCCCCTCAAATAAATAGGCGGATTCTTTAAACAAATTGCTCCCTTAAAATATAAAATTCCCCTAATCTTGAGATTAGGTAAGATTGCTGGTAGGCTGTATAATGTTGCTTTATATTTGCTAACGACTATAAAATATTTAAAAATAGTATAGTCCGTAATATAAGAGATTTATTTATTAAAGACTATATTATTGAAAATAATAATTCGATTATTATTAATTAGTACAATATAAATCCGGGAGCTATTATAATTAAATAATCGATAGGGGGATTTAATATGGTTAAATTTACCTTAGAAATTCTTTTTAATTAAATAGTAAAATCTGGGTAAACTGAATATTCGGAGATAAGAAAGGTCGGGTTTATTACTAAATTAGGCTTCGTAGGGATTTTTATTAATAATAGAATTTAGCAAACGATTTTATAAACATATAACGGATTATACTAAATATAATTAATATTTGTAGGTGAATTTGGTTTAATAAAAGAGAATAATAATTTATTTTAATACAGAGCTATTATAACGGCGAAGAAAAGAAGAAATAAAACTATTTATATAATAAATAAAGTAATTAATAGTATTAATATCGAAGATATAAAAGTCTTTTAAAGAATTTAAAAAAGAATTTACCTATTTTACAATAGAAAGGGTAATAATAATTAAATTATAGGTAGACCCCTTAGGGGGTATAACAATAGCGGGTAGTATATTATAAGCCGTTATTACGTTTAACCGCTCCGAAGAAGGCTTAATATCAATATACTTAAATTAGTCTTAAAGAATAGAAGGACGGGGGGATTTCTAAGTCCATCGTTACTTAGCGTAAAGTTTATTAATTTTATTAATAAAAAATAAATTTTTAGTATTAGAAATATTAGGATTAATATTCCCGGCCGATAGGTAATTATATTATTACTTATCAGTAGAATCCTTCTAGCCGTTTTAATTTTAGAATTACTTTACTGGGTACTTCCCTAAGTATAATTCCTTAGATTATAAACGTAATTTAAAATATTACTTAAAATAGCGTTCATCGCTATGCCTAAGGTCGTTATATACGCTGCAAGGAGTCTAAATAACCTTTCGCTTACCATTTATAATAGCCGCCTTAATAATATAGAATACATTTTATTCTTTTTCCTTTAATTCCTTTTAATTATTATACTCTATTTCGGACATTTTAACGTTCGAAACAACTTCTCCTAAAATAATGCCCCCTTTAATAATTTTATTATTCTTCCGGACGGGTAAAAGGCGACTATTTTAAAAAAGGTTTTCCTAAAATTAGGAGTACCGATTATTTAAGCCTTATATAAAGCGATAAATTAGGAACGGTTTAAGGATTCTTAGGGATTTATCTAGGCTGATTATAATTTCGTAGGTTTTAATATATTTTTAAATATATTTAGAAATACTATTAAAATTAATAAACAATAAAACTTCCTACTTTTAAACTAATTTTTAATAAAATAGTCCTATCTAGCCCCTAGTTCGCATTATATTAACGAAATATTTGAAGGCCTTATATATTGTAGTAATTAATCTTAGCAGGGGCGTAGGGGTTTTAAGTAAATTAAAAACTTATTTATTAGTACGATCTAATACTATATTAAAGAATTAATCTTAAAATATAAGCTAATTAATATATATAACCTTATAATTATATATAATTTATAGTTCGCCTTAGGCCGGAAGTTTTTTATTAATTAAAGCGGCCCTTATATTTAAAATAGATAAATATCGTTAAATAGCCCAGTTCTATTTAACTTACTTATTTATATTAGTAAATTTAGGCATGTCGGAATGACCTCTAGTATTAAATTTATTTTTAAGTATATTAGACCGTAGGGATTTATAATTTAGATATGCTAGATAATTTTAAATATTAGAATATGAATATAATAGAAGTAGTATAAATAGCGGAGTTAATACAATAGTAAAACCCTAAATATTTAAAGAATTTAGAAGAGTTGGAGGAGGCGAAGGCATTAGAAGGCCCGAAATATAATACGTCGGTAAACGAGGCGGAGGCGAATAGGGAATATTTTTTATTTTTTTAGAAAAGCCATTATTAAATAAAGTAAATATATTATTATAAATTAAATATAAGAATCCGGTTCGGTTTAAGTAGTAAGTAATTGTAGGAGGATGGACATATAATTATAAATTATAATAAGGATATTTATAAATATAGTAATTAAATTATTTAGCGGAAGAGGGGGTGACGATGTATTGTATATAAGTTACTACAAGTTTATATAGGGTAGATAAGGAGGTTGTTAATTTTTGTATAGATTCGGATCCGAATTGGGGTTTCGGTTTTAATTATAATAGCGGCGGTTTCTAATAATTATAAAGTCCCAGTTTTATCACGTAATTAAAGTTATCGCCAAATAACGAAAGGGTAATATTTAAATAAGAAATAGAGTTAGAAGTAGACGATGATTTAATTAATTACGTATTGTATATCCTAGGCTTATAACCTGTTGAAATTTACAAAGTATATAATAATACGAAGGTAGATGAGTGAGGTTGAGAATGCTTGAATTGGTTAAAGAAGAGAAGAAAAGAAAGGAAGGAATGGACGGCAGAGTTTATTCTTATATAGTTAGATACATGAGTTGGGGAAACGTATTTGGATCGATATGCAATGCAATAATATTGGTAGTGCATGCAATCAATATTCAACATTAGCATCATTGGTTCTCTTGTCTTTCGCATTGTTATCTTAGTGGAGCAGGTCGGCCAACAATCCGCAGTGCCGGCGAGGGAGGGGATTGTTTCATTGTTTGTGTAATAGAGGGGTTAAAGGGAGTGGCTAATGATGTTATGACTTGTTACTTTGCTACAAAATTTCTCTTTCCCTCTTTTTTTCGCGCAAAAGGCTGTGTTGCAACTTGCAAGTCAGTGTTGGTTTTCAGTTGCAGGTTTCTGTTCGCTACTCTTGGCGTCACTATACCCTTCGTGTTGTCATCGTTCGCATTTCAACATCTGATCTCAGCCCTTCACCCACTATACCTTGCTCCTCACGAAAGGAAGTTATAACTCTTCAAGGACATTTCCCAGTTCTACCACGTGTTTCTGGCATGTTTCGTTGTCATTCGCCGATAACGCCTTGGTTGTATTCAACCCTCCCTATACCCCAGCTTCTCCACGATATCAGTCCCGGGACTACTCCTCATCGCACTATCTGCCCTCGCATCTTGTTACCTATCCGAGGTATCATCCCAAAACAGGCAGGTATACAACTGAAACAGGTAAGGCAAGGCATTCTCCGTGAGCGAGTACAAGTACAATGTAACCCTGTGGACTTGCCGATCAGTTTCAGCGCCACGTGGGGTATGTAGTGTAAGCCCAAACGTTGAGCTATGTAGTCAGCCCTATGGAATAGCCACCCGTTCTCATTGCGGTCTTTTTGCACACATGTGATGGGGCCTGCTTCTCACTGTTCGGTATTGAGGACCGAAAGGTGGAGGTTAGGGGTTAGATGCAGGATTCGGGATGCATTACGGATCTGACGGGAGATCGGAACACCCTCTTTTCCCCTTCCCGGCCTTCAATGCCTGACCATACATACATGAGGTTTGTATTGAAGAAGGAGGAGCCCACCTCAAGTACCTCATAGTTGTCATGTACCTTTGCTATCAAACTCGAAAAGCTTTCGGCCTCAAACTGACCCTTGTGACTTGTCTTGCCCTTTCCCCGCATCACAGTCATCTTTCCAGAAGCAGAAGCCATGCAGATCATGCGGCTTACGCACGCCGGACGGGAAGTTGGAAATCTAGTCAGACTTGTCAGCCCTATGGAATACGGATAATTCGAGGCATTCAGGAACTTGAAGGATCCCGCCCAATCTGCAGGGACGGGAATTATATGACGCAATTTGAAGAATTACGCTACTGAGAAACCCAGAGTAGCGTGGTCCCAACTCTCATTCGATACTTTCACTATATCATAAGCCTTAGAGGACTGATAGTCGTATTCCATGAGCCCGAAGTGGGCCTAAAGACCGACGACGGGAAGTTTTGCGAGTTGCGAGTAGCCGCAAAGTGCTATCGCCAGTTAGCATCAGAAGTTCGGCAAACATTGTGAACATTGTATGACACATTCGGCTCAGATGGATCAGCAGCATGGATCACGTATATTAAACATGCTGTGGTACAATCTAGAAGAGCGGACGTAAGGCGGCGGCAAAGGCAGGCGGACGGTATAGCGGCAGGAACGGACGGATGGATGATGTCGATAGGTATCTTGTATCCGAGTGTGACTGAGAGATCACGGGAGAAGCGGAGGCACAGGTTGTAGTCAACATGAATTCCTGTTGGTTGAATAACGAGGAATGAGCTAGCTTTGGTGAGGGTCTCAACTTACGTACTTGTGCATCTTCTCTGGAGCTATCATTACCTTATGTTTGATGATGCTTTTGCCGGCGTGCCCGGTTCAGCGCTGGCAACAAATCAAGGAGCGTTAATCTACGTCAACAAATGCCAATATCACGATGCAGTACGAAACAATTATGTACACGAATATAAACAACCGAATGCGTTGTCTTTTTTCCTTCAGTCCTACAACCACACCTCACTCGTGGCATCCGTGGTATCTCCCTTACTCTATTTCCCTATGGTTGTTTTTCTTTGCTCCCTCCCTCTCTTCACTCCGCCGATTCGACCGCCGACGTACCCCTACCCCGTTCCTTTTTAGCACCCATGCCACAACAGCCGGTTTCAAGCAAAAGGTCAAGAGCAGTATAAACCAACAGCAAGATCCAACCAACTAACCGGGATAAACCAAGCCAGACTAATGATGGAAGCAAGAAATTGAACCCCCAAGAAAGAGGGCCAAAAAAGCACAAGTTTCTAATCCCTAAACCAACTCTTAATAGGAGGCAACCTAGGCAAAACTTGTCCCTCTCCATCCAGTTCTTCTTCCTCCACCACTCGAGGGAGCTGCTCTGCATATCCACTTTCACCTGCGACCCATCTTTTTGCCATTCCGCCTCCATATCCACTCCCACTTCCTCCTAGTCCTGCATGCCATCCCAGACGACCTTCAACGCCTCCCTCAACCTCTTCCATTGTACATCCCCGTCCTCTCGAACCTGAACCCATCTGCATCACACCATAACCATATCCATAGCCATCACCCCGCTGCGGTTCCTGGGGTTCCTGCGGTCCCTGCGGTCCTTGTGGTCCCTGCCACCACCCAGCCATATTCATCGCGTCCACATCCTAAACAGCCGCGATTTCTTGGATTCGTTCGGTTCCGGTTCGTTCAGCTCGGCCATTCCCATTACTTTCCCTCTCCCTCTCTCCATCCACCTGGGCAGCAGCAGCAGCAGCAGCAGGTCTACTCCCTCTCCTCGGCAACTCCCCGTCTCCATTCCCGCCCCTCAGCGCCGGAAGAATGCTCTCCCTCCTCCCATTACTCCCCCCTCCACCACTCCCTCCTCCCGAACCGTCGGCAGCCCCACCACCCACGGCACCAGCAGGTAGGTCAGTAACGCTCTCATCCTCCTGCTCCATCAACTTGATCATCTCCTCCAGATTTTCCTCTAGGTTCTCTTGGTCATCCGGCGGCAGACACGACATCAGGAGGTGCTTGTACTTATCGATGCGCTCGCCTGTGCCTAGCATGCCGCGGGCTTCGACGTAGTCGTTTTCTGCTGAGCGCTGTTCTTGGAGGATGGACCGCAGCTCGGCGGCGAGGGAGAGGCGGTGGGTGTAGTCGTCTTCTTCGTGGTCTTGATCTTGGTCTGCGACTTCGGTGTCTTGGGATGATGGACCTGGTTGTTCTTGGGCTGCGGGGGGTTGGTCTGGGTGTTGTGATTGTTCGGCTTCTGATTCGTTTTCGTTTTCGTCCTTGGGGGTTTTGTCTTTTTGGTCTGCTGCGGAAGGGGAGAGTTTGGGCTTCTTCGATGGAGACGATTTGGAGGATTTGACGGTGCCGTTCGTGACGGAGCCGTTCAGTGCGGCCAGCTCCTGCTGCACGGCCTCCTGCACGGATATGCGGTTCTGGTGCGTCACGAACGCCAACACCTTATGTCGCGCCGTGGCCATCTCCGCGGCCATCTTGGCGGCGACGTCGTCCGAGTCGAGGCGGGAGTTGTAGTCGTCGATGGATGCGGTGAGGGCTTTGAGCTCTGACTGGGTCTTGTTGAGGATGCGGCGGGCTTCCTTCTCGGCTTCGTCTTTCTCCTTGAACTCGCTGTCATAGGAGGCTGTGAGGTCCTTGAGCTTCTGGAGGATCAATGGCGTGATGCGATTTTGCACCGTGTTGGCCGCGTCGCTGCTGTATTTCTGCTGTGAGTTCTTGCGGCTCGTGGCCATGGACTCAGAGATAGCTTCGTGGAAGGCATCGTGGCGTTGGGTGTCGGGGGCGAAAGGGCTTGAGGATCGTTGTGGGAGGTTGGACCGGGATTTGGAGATGGAGGCATTGAGCTCTTTTATCAGCTCTTCGGCACGGATGCCTTGCTTGTTAGGAATGTCGGTGCTGGCGCCCCGGCCGAGGAGAGCCCGAATGCATTTTCGGGCATCGCGCATGGCGGCAAGGTGGACCGCCGTGTTACCTTCGTTATCCTGAGCATCGAGAAGCTGTTGTACGAACTCGGGATGGTGTGTCTCCTGCAGCCTATTAAGGATGATGTCTAGGTAGTACCGCGAGCAGGACTGGCTGTTCGCACGCCCACTCTTCATCACAGCAGCGTGATGTATGACTGTGCATCCTGACACATCTCGGCACTCGATGGTGGAAAATAGCTCCTTCATGACCTGTGGGAAGGTCTGCTTCTCGAAGCAGTTGGTAAAGTTTACCGCACGCATAAACGGTGTCTCTCCCCGTACGTTTTGCGCGTCCAAGCTAGCTCCGAACTTCTTCAACTGCCTCACAACATCGACATCGCCCATGGCAGAGGCCCAATGAAGACATGTGTGACGCTCGTTATCGATGGGCCAGTCAGGCTTGAAGTTGGGAGGAGGGTCGGGCCGTACGGCAGGTTGCTCGTTTCTAGAGAGCAAAAAGTAGTCCAGTAGTTCGTCACCGTAGACGGCATGCTGCTGTTCCGTCATATCCTCTATCAACTCGTCTCGCTTCCGTTTCCTATGCCCGGTCGAGAAGTGTGAATGATCGTAACGGTCGTCCTCGGCCATGTAGGAGGCCGAGACAACGGTAAGATTATCGGGGGTATCGTCGTCGTGCATGTGGGTATCGGCATCGTTGTAGTCTTGGGCTTGTACGGGAAGACCTTTGCGACCTGCTGGTAAGAGGCTGCCAGGCTGAGAAGGGTTGGCGTTCTTTGCCGACTTACTGCCCCATGTCGGAACAGCAGGCTTGACCTTGGGGGCCTTTGGCTTGCTGGCGTGTCTAGGTGCAGGAGGAGGGCTTTCGTTGCCCGGTTGGAACTCGAAGATGGGTTTTAGCCGTTCGTAGATGTTATTGCGGCGAGCGAGGGCTTCGGCTTGTTCGAGCGGGATCCAGGTGCCTGGCAAGGGGAATGGTTAGCAAGTGGTGCGAAGTTCATAGAGACCTGACATGTTCGCACCCTGGTATCTTCCGTATCCGCCTTGTATCTTCTCGTGGGTGTCTTTTTGTACCTCGCGCTCCAAGATTCTCGTTCGGGCGGGCTTGTCGAAGCCGGCGGCCTTGAGGATGTGTGTAGCGTTGACCCAGTCATCGTGGCGACGGCGCATCACATGCTCCTTGAGATCGAGACCAAACTGATACTCCCATACTGGAATCTGCAAACCATGACCGTGCGGTTAGCAACATGCAAACGAGCGACGAGGAGGGGAGCACGGAGAGAGAGAGAGAGGTAGAGACGTACACCGCTATACGTTGCGCTGTAGATTCCCGGCTCGGGGTTTCCCCCGACATTTGCCTTGACCATATCTGGTGGAAATGCCAATGGTTGGGCGCAGGGCAGATATCACCAGCGGTAGGGAGCAAGTTAAAAGTGCTACGAGTTGAGCAAAACGTGAGTGGGCTGATGGACTACCAGGAGGCGGCTGGTAATTGAATATGGCCACCGCAAGTAGCGTGGGTATCAAGGAGGGAATGCTGTATCTGATGATAGCTTCATTCAAGGTATCAGTCCTCTGCCTTGTCGTGGTGGTTGGCTAGAGTGTGGTGGTGGAAATCGAGGCACGAAAAGGACGCGGTGATTGAGCCAGACCGGGCGGGCGACGCGGTTGACGCGAATCCAGTTAAAGTGCCTTGGTGCCAAGCCAGGACTCCAGGTTCACGTGATGAAGCGGAGAACAGACAGTCAAGCAAACGAAGGCACTGGCCATCACTAACAAACTTGAATGGAGGCTCCACGCTAAACTGATAGTGCAATACCCACTCTACATTCAGTTACCAACAGCTGGCCGGACTGTTCTTTCATGAAACATCAACTCCCAAACAACGCGCAAACAATTGAAAGGGGCTTGTTGTCGCCATCCATTCATTGCTTCAACAGCTACTGTGCAGCATCACAGGAATGCCGTGGAACGATATTATCTTCCTGACCCAGTCCTTTTTTACTTGCAGACTTCCGGCCTGGATAAAGCAGTGCCTCAATCCCCTCTGCATCAAAATCTCGTGGTGTTCTGGACAGAACGACTTCACTTCAAACTTTTGACTGACATACTTTACATAGCTAGACACTGGTACATGTAACATGACCTCTTCAGGTTTCCCGTGGTCGGCGTTGGAGTCCTCATGTTGTATTCCGATCCGACTTGGGATGTAGAGGTGCGTTTTGGGACTGGTTCACCTCGTAAAGCCATCAGGAACTTTCCCAGGGGCGATGAGGCGGTATCCCTCCCCTAGGAAAATAAAAGATGCAATGCCCACTGCTGCATCGGATGTCCGATTCACGATTTGGGTCTTGCAGTGTGTTCTCCGGCCGAAGCGGGCGGCTTATTTTCCTGCCACTCGTCGCCCCCTCCCACGATACTCGCAGGTCCGATATTGTGTGCATGCCGCTTGAAGCTACGTGGACACTATCTCCCTCGAGAGCATTCTAGTTACGGACGTCATCGACCGACCACAGGGCTGTTGATCACGCAGTTTCAGATCATGAAAATGCAGTGTCGCCGGTCCGGACATGCCTTCACAAGAGGCTTTGCCACGGAGAGGAATCAAGGACGAAAGATGCAAGATATGAAGAACGTGACAGAGCAGATTAACATGAGTCCCATCCTCTCCCCCCTCCAAGTTTTCTCAGCTTTCTCTCCAACAAACTCTTTCGTTCCAGTTGCTCGCCATGCCTGAGGATATATTCCTTATCTTTCCAGTCTTTGGAACCATTCTTTATCCTTTTGTTCGTTTTCTTCATTTTGGCCGTCCACCGAACTTTCCGAACTTTGACATTAGAAGGGCTCGAAGCATAAATATAATGGACTCCCAAGGGTACGTGGGCCCTTCCCCCGGCCAACAGCAGGGATAGAAAGAGAACTCGCCCAGCTACTGAAGAAGACGATAGTCCTCCGGCACCACCAAAGAGGTGTCGTCCCAGCCACGATGACATCTCCGACAACGCCGCCGACCACGAACCGGACATCCCCCCCGGCGAAGCGGCACCCATGGGAGCCGGGGTGCCTACCGCCGCCCAAGTCCCCACAACCGATGACGGCAAGGAGCAGATTGCCCTCATCCCCACCGTGAAAAAGAAGGTGCGATTCCTACTTGACAACGGGGCCGGTGGCCGTCATACACCCGACAGACCTCCCAGCCAAAAGACTGTACGGTTCCTACTCGACAACGGGGCCGGTGGCCGTTATTCGTAATCCCATCAACCCACCCCCTACGCCCTATCAAGTAGAGGAGTGCGCCTAGGTCCTTATGATGGGATTGATGAACGGGGAGGAAGGGGTTTTTTTTTTTTTTTTTTTTTTTTTTTGGGAAATGCGTCGTTGGCATGAGTATGACGGGAGGAACACGATGGATATTGGAGGTTGGATATATGCGGCAGGCTTGTGGGAGGCACAGGGTGGACAAGATACAGTCGGGTCCTACGCTGAATTAGTTTTTAATTTTCCCAACAGCAACAGCAACAGCAACAGCAACAGCAACTAAACCCAATCACCACGGGAAACATGCCTCCTTTTTGTTGGACAGAAAAGCTACATTTTAGCTAGATCTCTGGGCCTTACGCCCACTTTCCTTATTGAATAGCGAGCACCATCTACCATGGGCAGTTTGGTGCCTATCTATACACCATCTAGTGCCCTCCCCAACAATATATCGCACTCCTCCACACTACTTGGGTTCATGGAATGTTTGGCTGACACTTCGTAGTAGTCTCGTAGTGGTGATGTTCGACAACATGGCCAGATAAAACCATCCTCCTAAACATGGGAATGATGCAAACCGAACCACGAAACATAAGGGGACTTTTTTTTTTGACTTTTTTTACGACCAACTTGTTCCCATCCCTTCCATCTCCTCGTCTTGCAACCAGAAGATCGAGGCAACCATGTCACGCATGCATGCATGCCCCTGCTGCGGTGCAAAATAATTGTTAGCGACGTAACCACTGTAACCCCCATTCGTCCACTGTAACTGCGCTGTGGCCGCACTACAGTATCCTGGCTCTGTAGGTGGATCGTTTCAGCCCTGTGCAAAGCGAATTCGTGTGCAAAGACCTCCACAAGATCTCAAATGGACGGATCTAATTGGCCAGTTGACCAGATCCCCCACGTTTTAGGAAGGAGCACATGCTTCTCACCGAACCCTGATTTTTCCTCTGTACAACCAACATCGGTCATTTTGGGGACACAGCAGTGCGGCTCAGCTGAACTTTCTCTTTCGCTCCTTTTTGCATACTTTGTACATTTATTGTTGCCTGCACACACACCAGGACGGCCATCTGTTCTTTCTCGTTCACGCGCCGCTCGCTGCTCTCCCTGTCCCTTTGCTCGGCGCTCTATGCCCTCCGTCACCACCATCTCGACCCTCGCGAACCACGCGGAACCAGTACCCGATCCCGATCTCGAATTCGATCGCACCCTCCAATGCACCATTGCTCCTCGACAATAACCTCCCACCGCTCCCTCCCAGTCCCCCGACCGTCACCCAACCATGGCGCCCGACACACACTCCTCCCTCCCCCTTCTCGACCCCTCCTCCTCTCACGCCAACTCCAACGATGACCGCGGCCGCCGACGCGCCCCCTCCCCCTCCCACCCCTTCCTCCCCGACCCCGATCCCGACTTCGACCCCGCAACCGCCGACCCCACCCCTTTTTCCTCTTCCGGGCCCGGCGCCGCTCGACCCTCCAACCCCCGCCGAACAACCTCCACCTCCCTCCGCTCCCTCACGCCGACCCCGCTCGCTTCCCAAGCTCTCCACCTCGACACCACGCTCCGCTACCGTTTAGCGGGCTTCTTCCTGCTCGTCTCGCTCGTGGCATTCACCGTCCAAACGGAGCTCGCTTCCATCGTCCAGCATGATTTGGGTTGGGACAAGGCGTATTGCATGTTATACCTTACCCACGGCTCTTGGGTTTTCCTGTTCCCGTTGCAGTTGGGGGTGTTGAGGTTGATGAAGCGGGAGATGCCTTGGCGACAGTTTTGGCGCGGGGTGTTGTGGGAGGTTAGGGTTGTTGGTTCCATGGTTGAATACCAGAGGTTGGATGTACAGGTGGGGAGAGGGAGAGGGAGGGGGAGGGGAGGGCAAGGGCAAAAGTCGCCATGGCGATATCTGGCGTACACAACGGCGGGGATCACTTGTGCCTTGACGGTTGCTGGGCTGAGTTGGTACCTAGCCGTGAGCATGACCACGCCCTCGGACTTGACGGCTATCTACAACTGCAGCGCCTTCTTCGCGTACGCGTTTAGTATCCCGTTGCTTAAAGAGAAGCCGCGGATGGGCAAGATCGTTGCTGTCGCCATTGCTATTCTTGGTGTCCTGATCGTTGCCTACGGCGACGGCAATCCCGATTCCGGATCAGGAGACGACATCACCGGCGGCACACGTTTCCTAGGCAACATGATCATCGGCGTCGGCTCCGTCCTCTACGGGTTGTACGAAGTGCTATACAAGCGTTTCGCCTGTCCGCCGGAGGGCACGTCAGCGTTTAGAAGCGTCACCTTTGCCAACACCTTTGGGAGCATGATCGGGGTCTTCACCATTTTCGTGCTCTGGATTCCTATCCCCATCTTGCACTGGACGGGGATCGAACCGTTTGAGGTGCCCACGGGCAGGGCGGCCTGGTTGTTGTTCTGGAGCATCGTCATGAACATGAGCTTTGCGGGGAGCTTTCTGGTGTTGATCTCGTTGACGAGTCCCGTGTTTAGCTCGGTGGCGAGCTTGTTGACGATTTTTATTGTGGCTATGTCGGATTGGTTCATGACGGGGAAGCCGCTGAGCGGGGCGTCGATGTTGGGTGGGGTGTTTATCATGACGGCGTTTGGGCTGTTGAGTTGGTCGACGTGGAAGGAGATGGAGGAGGAGGAGGTGAGGAGGGGGAGGGTTATTGCCGGCGGCGGTGAGGAGGAGGAGGGGGATAGTGGGAGTGATAAGGATGAGGATTAGACGGGTTTGGAGGATTGCGCGTTGGTATTTTTGGTGTTTTCTGGTTTTTTTTTGGGGGGTTCTTTTTCTTTTGGATACACAGAAGTGACAGCACATATAGTCACACGATAGAGATGGTCTGGTACAAACCGTATTGAGAGGCTAGGGTGGCATGTTGTTTTGGATATTGGCGGCGTTTAGATGACCATATGGCATATAGAAGGTTATCATCTTTCGCACATTTGGGACGGGTCAAATACACCAGGCCCCAGATGACCAGCTGCTTTGACAGCGTTAGCAAATCTTCTTCCTGTCGATGAGTTCACCACATGGAACGATTCCACCACCTTTCCAGCTTTGCTCCGTTGAATAGGCGTCTAGAGCAAAAGGGATGACCGCGAGCACCCAACTTTGTTTAAAGTAGACAAAATGAAAGCCGACGCGGGAAAAGGAAAAAAGCTCAAGCTGCCCAAGCCTGGAGTTGATCTCGAAGCCAGCTGCATACCTACGAAAACACCACGCATTTTCTAGCTACCAGTCACACCTACCACGTAGGCTGGACTACTGGGAGTTGTTGGAAGGTCTGAAGTAAGTTGGGGCTTATATAGTCCCAGTGAAGGTCCTGCCGCTGGGTTGAAACTTGGTGGGGCTCACTCCCCTCCGCCTTCACTTGATCCGGTGGTCTACACGGAACATAGCGCGCCGTCGGTGGGGCCGCACGGGTTGCGACTTCCCTCCGATTTTCGACCACATCCGCATATGTAGTCTCGGTCTTGGCACGGAGTTTGTCTCGGCATTGCCCCACTATTCCGGCATCCCAGCCGGTGTACGATATCACTTTTGCGCTGTTGGGGCTAAATACCACCATCACCTGACCCTTTTCCATTGTACTGTTGAGGAAACCTGGCCGGTAGATTAATAGCTTGTGAGGTGAGTTTGGTTTGAGTGCTGAATGTGATGCAACTGCCATCGAGTGGCAAGCAGCAATGTTGGACGGTGTGGAAGAAAACGCTCTTGGACACATCTCTCAACGTGATTTAAATCAGATAGTCCTGTAATCTGGTGTACCTCAATCATGTGCGTCGAGAATATTTATGGCGGACATGGGCAAGGAGCAGGACATGTAAGGCAGGGAGCATGATGTGTCCAAGCCTCCAGGGTTTTATGCCGGAGACTCGGAGTCATTTATGCTGTTCCATTTTTTTTTTTTTTTTTTTTTTATTTTTTTTCCTGACCTGCCGCCCCCAGAAATAGTGTGGCGAGGGCGAAAGATTGAACTGCATTGCATACCAGCAAGTTGAACTCTACTGAAGCCCGAGCCTTTGTCGGAGCCCGCATGTTATCGATCGACTGGTCCCCCAAGATGTTAGTCCAATGCATGAGTCACCCTCCACGGGCCTTCAGGCTTCGACATTTTCCTTCCCGGGTACTATAAGTAGAGCGCCCGGCCACTTCCATTATCCCAGCTTCGAAAGGTTCTCTTCCTGCCACAAACCTCGACACCAATCACCATAGCTGTGCACACGATACCGAGCACCTTAGCCCTAGTCACGAGACTTCTCACCCGAACCACAACCACCACAGAATCATCACCATGGTACCACCATATCCTCCAGGGATGGCGCCTATTCAGCGACTTCCAACTGAGCTCAAGGACCTCATCTGTGAATTTGCAGGTTTTGAGGCTCATCGCACTCGCGATTACCATGTTTCCCGGCCGGACGAGACACTTTCACAGGATGATGCTTATACCTGGACGCCTCATTCTTTAATGCCGGATATGGAGCGGAGGAATACGGAGGTATACGACGATTTTCGATCCTTGTCGCTCGTCTCCAGAGACTTCACCCCGTCAGCACAACGTGCCCTTTTCACAATTGTCGCCCTTCCACAACCCATTTCCTACTTTCGGCTCCTCCGTAGTCTTCTCCTGAACCCGCAGAACGGACGTTATATTCGATGTCTCATCCCAGTTTCACACCGCTCATTGGATAATATAGTCTTCAGGGAGGCCAACAAGCGCGCCCTCCGGAAAGAGCTCTTCCAGATGTTCACTCCCACATTCTGTGAGGAGGCGGTTGAGATACTCAACGTCCCAAACCCTTATTTGTTCCCCGGCACAGTTCGAAGTCGCCTGGTTGTATCTTGGAACCCCCACCCAACGGCCTTGAACCACAAGACAATCCAGGTATCCGGATCTTCCAGCCCCACCATCGCAGCCGGCGACGACATCGAGGTTCACCACCAGATCCCATCAAGTCGATTCTTCCCTCAGCTTATGTCCGAAGCCCTCGAAGCCGTCATTCCACTCTGCCCTCAGCTCCGAGCCTTCCATCTCCTCTGCAGACAGGCCCCGCCCGACGCATTACCTTTCCATTCCTCTGCCTCCTGGCCTCTCAGCCTTCCCATCGGACAAACGCTCTTCAACTCCAACCCCCTCCTGACCACCTTGACCGTCGACTTCCGCGCCCTGGCCGGAGCCTTGAAGCCGTCGCGCTTCACCACTTCATCCCTCCAACGCCGCCACCTTCTGCCCGCCACCATCACCCATCTCTCTCTCATTGGACACCCTTTGTTCGACGGTTTGCACGTCACCCCGATGAGTTTGTTTGCGCTGGGCACCTGGCTCAGCGAGAACCATGGACTGAGAAGCCTGCGCGTCTTGAACGGGCTGGCCCACACCACTCATGCGTTCGGACAGAGGACCTGGAATTGGAATACCATTCTCCTGAGATATAAACACTCGCTCGAAGAACTGGAGCTCGACGGTCGCGGGTTGTTGCTTCGCCAGCCCTTCTCGGCGAGAAAGTTACTGGGGCTGGGTAATGACTCTGGTGTTCTGGATTTGTTTGGTGAGGCGAAGGTTTTGAGTTGCTTGGGGCAGATGGAGCGGTTGAAGGTAATCAAGGTGCCGCTGCATTACCTTAGGCGAGTTAGGGTTCAAGAGTGGTGGGACCCGATGCTGGTGTCAATGTTCAAGGTTCCCGGAGTTGACATTGTTGAAGTGATTGCGGATGAAGATGGAAGGGAGGTGATGGAACCGGTGGTGAGGCGGGAGCAGGATATTCAAGTGGATGTGGAGTTTCCAGTGGGGGCCGAGAGGATTGAGGTGGTGGTACCTGGAGAGGTAAAGAGATTAAGGTTCCCGCGCGATAAGGTGATCACGGGGGTCAGGACCGTGGTAGTGAGAGGGGAGGAAGCGGGGGATGAGAATGAGGAAGGTGCGGTGCAGGGAGCTGGGGTGTTTCATTAGTTATCGGCTCCAGGATGCTCAACTGCGACATACACTCCTTCCGCGAAAGCAACTTGCGCCTTCCTAAAGTGTTTCCATTAGGGTTTCAAGGAATCTTCTGAACCAAAACGTCGTCGAAATATTGTGTCATAATTTGCCTTATATAGTTTATAACTGTCATATTTCCAGAGCGTGGATTCCGACACTCCTACATATTGTGCAAATTCGAGCTCTGGCACGATGGGATGGAACAGCCGGGTGGCAAGGTGAATGTTGCCGCCGTGTTTACCCCAGGCGGGTAGAACCTTCGTGCCTGCCGATTCGAGCAAGTCTCCTGCTTGGCTTCCATCTGATGCTTCTGCTTTTGCCAGGGCAGGCAGCTTCTCCCCTTCACCTTCCCTGCCAGCAGCAAACTGCTACAACTCAATCACCTCGCCTCCTTCCTGCCTTTCTTAAAACCGTTCATCATTTCCACAAGCGCCCCGTCTTGTCCACATCCACTTTCCCACAAGCAAGTGAGCCTGACAGAAGCTCCGCGCCATCGCGATCTTCTTCAAAGAAACCGCCAACATCTTCCTTGCGACAATCCCTTTCTGCCACCCCCATCTAGAGGTCACCACGACCAGGCGCTGCAGACTTCCACTTGAGCGCAGCGCGTCCTTTCGCTGGTTAGGTGGTAGACGACCACCTTAAGGACAGCCGGCTTCCTCCCCTGAAAATCAGAAGGTATAACCCTCGCCCTCCCAGCTTATTCACCAGATTGTGACGCCCGGGTGACCGCATACAATCTGAACCCATTCTGACCAGGTCTATCTACAGGTCCCTCTGATCCTGACCGTTGGTCCCACGGCGCGGAATTGTGGAAAGATACCTCCCTCGAAAGAACATCCTCGATGAATTCTTCACGGCCCCCGAGGATGGCGCCCATCCAGCGCCTTCCCTTCGAACTGAAGGAGCAGATCGCTCGCGAGTTCTGCGACTTCGACCTATACGACCAACGCAACTACCGAATCGACCCTTCTGGCGATAGCTTTCTCAACGGCCACACGTATGAGTGGAAGCCGTTACCGGAAGCAGGCGGAAAGCCCCAGCTGAGCTTTCAGCCAGTTTACGACGATCTGCGTGCGCTTTCACTCGTTTCGAGGAACTTCCGGGACCCGGCCCAGCGCGCGCTCTTTTCCATCGTCATTTTTGGGGAGCCTACGACATACTTCAAGCTTCTCCGAAGCTTACTCGAGGCCCCCGACACCAGGTCCTACATACGATGTCTCTTTGCTGTTGCGGTTCGCAATCCTGAGGCTGAGCAGCGTCACCATGAGATAGTAAAGTCCTGCTGCGCTGACTTTGTTGAGATACTCGGTCCCATTGTTGTCTCAAACTCCTATGACGGCCTTCGGAACGGACGTTACTTCTACGGGTTCAAACATCGAATACTGCTACACGGCGATACCGTTTCCTCTTCCCCGGACCGCAAAGTATCCGACATGCGCTTAAGACGGGATTTTGCCATACTAGTCAAGGAGGTTTTGCATAGTATCCTTCAGCTCTGCCCATCACTAAAAGCTTTTCACCTGCATTACAGCCATTGGTCTTCTGGAAAACATGAAGATCCATGCGCATTCTGGTCCCTCGAAGAGAGAGGCTGGGCTTGCATAAGATTACTCAAAGATCGCCCTTTACTCACCACATTAACGATCGACGTTCGCGCTGTGCGTGGTGTTCTTAACCTCGCCTGGAATGCTAAGTCTAGTCAATATCCTTCTACCATTGAACATCTCACACTCATTGGCTCTACAACCAAGGAACTTACGCACGACATACTGGTTTTTGATCATGTCTTCGCTTGGGTAAGCACCATTACCAGGCTGAAAACGCTCCGAATTTGGAACGGGTTTGGCAATAGAACTTTGTTAACTACCCACAATTGGAATACCATCCTGCGCAAATTCAAAGCTACCCTGGAGCAGCTTGTGGTGGATGGTGCTGGGTCGCTACTCCAGATGACTCCCTCGGAAATCATCGGGCCACGGGCATACCAGCAGGTGGATCGGTTTGGTCCAAGTGGTATCCTCGCGTGCCTGCCAGAGATGGAGAAACTCAGATACCTGAGTGTTCCGATACACTATCTCAGGAGATGCCCAGAGGGAAAGAACCCACTTGAGATTCTGATCATGCCTAACGAAGGCCAAGATGTCCGCCAGGTTGTGGAAGCGGATGTAAAGTTTCCGAAGTCACTGGAGAGGGCTGAAGTTATGATGGTTGAGCAAGTACAGAATTACAGAATCACAGAGGTCAAGGCTCTGAGGATCGATCTGGGCAAAGGGGCCACACAGCTGGAGAAATAGTACGACTGGAGGAATGAGGACGGGGGAAGGGGCATGGTCGGCACCGAGGATCGACAGGTAGCAAGCAGCTCTCGAATGCGATGGATCATGACTCAAGTAGACGACTCAGAACTATGCAGTTGGCCGTTGACACTACGGGTATCTCGTTCTCACTAATTACTTGACTGACAAACACTTACTTGTTCCTGTAAAAAGGTCACGTTCTGTGACAGACTCCCATATCGCTCTCCTAGGTGACGAGAAGCCGTTGAAAACCTGTGATATGCCTTGTAATCAGTTGGAAGCACGCTGGCCAGAGTCTATCCGGGACTTTTGATCTAAAAAACTTATGAAATTTCGCTCAGATGGTGTAAGTAAGATACGTGAATGCGTTTAAGAGTATTCCGAAGCTGTGATGTATCTGATGGTGAGGTGTTCGGTATATTTTTACGGCTGCTAAAGAGCCTAAGATAAGGTCGGTTTAGGCCCTAATCGGTATCCTATCGCTAAGCGGTACGGAGAGGAAAGTTTGGCTTGAAAGTGATATTTTAGCGACTAGGGCGTGGGCTAGCGTCTCGGCCAATTCTTGAGTTATACTACTGCTCTTCTCTTTAAAACCTTTCTTTTTATAGCGGTATAGAATATAGCGGTATAGCGTTTAAGCGGTACAAATTCTAGTTAAGAAGGGTATAGCGACGTCGTATTTAAATATCTTAACGAACTTTAGCGAAAGTAATATTGTTTTAACAATATAAGAATTAATTAAGACGCTAATTAAGACTCTAACGCTAAGAAAGGGAAAGCGTTCGTAGTAAATACCCGTTTTAAAGTTTTACTCCGCTTGCATTATAACCAAGCTGTACCGTTGAGCCTCTATACTGCTTAAGAAAGCTTAATGGTAGGATATTGATTAGGGCCTTAGAACTAAGATGGGAGAAAGTGAGGAATTTTATAATATTTCGATAGCAATTCCTATCTCCCTTTCCTGTCCGCTCATTTTAAGCCTTGTACTGTTCTCTTCTTTCCTAAGCAAGACGTGAATCATTGCCATTCTTATTATCAATTACATTCCTTCCTTCTTCTTTTAGGGGGGCGATGTCGCTGCATTGGAAAGGCGAAACTTTGCAGCCAAAAACGGTACTTGCAATGGCAGGTGTCATCAGCTGGGCGGCTCTATATTTCTGGGTAGGGGTGCGTACTCCATGTACATGCAAGTTTTTCGTACGGGGAAGGTTAACTCTCTTCCTCAACCTCGACGAGTTACCGAGTCGCAATCGCATTACGTTGAGCTGACGACGATAATTACGATTCAACGTATTTTCCCACCATGGCTCGCTTGAAACAGCTCCCAACCGAGGTACGGGCGCGGATATGCGAGTTCGTCGGCAACATTGCCGACGCCCCCTCCGACTTCCAGCCCGATCCGCTCAGACAGGATACCTTCTTTCTGGTGCATCGGGGGTCGAAAACGACAGCCATTGAGCCTAAATACTCGTCAATCTACAAGGATCTACGGTCATTGGCGCTTACTTCAAAAGCCTTCACGGACTCAGCACAGCGAGTTTTGTTCAGGATTGCGGTAGTCGGCGGTCCCAGGTGTATTATGAGATTGCTGAAAAGCTTGCTTCTTTACCCTAAGAACAGGCGGTACATTCGGTCTCTCTTCGTTACCCGCAAGCCCCATTCCCAAACGGGCTATCTTGCTGAGGAGATTCTGGTGCAGTTCATTCGTGTATTGCGTCCCCTTGTCTTAACAAGAAGGATCGATGAACTTTATGACGCAAGCTTTTTCCGCGGATTTGAGGCCGGTCTTCCACTGGGCCCACCCAATCCCAATGAGGTCTGTGATTGGGTAATGATGGCGCACAAATCCCCAAGGGGATTCTTGCTCAACGTCGCAGACCATGTCTTGAGGGCGATTATTCAATTCTGCCCCTTCCTAAGGCCCTAATGGGTATCCTACCGCTGAGCTTTCTTAAGCAGTATAAAGGCTCAGCGGTATAGTTTGGTTGCAATGTAAGCGGAGTGAAATTTTGAGACGGGTATTTACTACGAACGCTTTCTCTTTCTTAGCGTTAGGGTCTTAGTTAGCGTTTTAGTTAATTCTTGTACCGCTAAAACAATATTATTTTCGTTAAAGTTCGCTAAGATATTTAAATACGATATCGCTATACCTTTCTTAGTTAGAATTTGTACTGCTTAAACATTATACCGATATATTCTATACCACTATAAAAAGAAGGGTTTTAAAGAGAAGAGTAGCGGTATAGTTTGAGAATTGGCCGAGACGCTAGCCTACGCCCTGGTCGCTAAGATGTTACTTTCAAGCCAAACTTTCCTCTCCGTACTGTTTAGCGGTGGGATACCGATCAGGGCCTAAGCGGGTTTCATATATGCTGCGGCGATAACTGGTCTCCAAGGTTAGGAAGGATAGATCTGGAGGTACCGGCCAGCTTAGACGACGGTCCTTCCAATACTTTTCCCCAACTCAAATCCCTTACGCTTGACTACGGTGCTCTGCAGGCTCGGGTTGACTCTATAGCCGTCAGGCCAAGATATCCTGGAGGATGTCCTCCAAACATCGAATGGCTCACACTAATGGGGGACGGAATATTGAGGCTCGGCCCACCCCGTATTAACCTCGATTTTATTCACTCCTGGATTCGCAGCAACACATCACTGAAGGAGCTTCGGGTCGTCAACGGATTCGACGATTACGTGGAAGACGCCGGCACCGTACCACTCGAGAACACGTGGAACACCATCCTCCCTCTCTTCAAAGACACTTTGGAACTTCTCGTATTCGACGGGTACAGATGGATGCCCCTAGAGCCCCAACCGCGGTTTGGCCCCACAAGGATGCTATCCTGCTTGGAAGAGTTTAAGAAGTTGGCCTACCTCAAGGTGCCGTTGCACATGCTGCGACAAGACTACCCCAAGCTTTGTGTGCCGAGAGGGGGACAGAATGTCTTGGACCTCGTCCAGGCCAAACTCCCAGAGGGGTTGAAGAGGGTGGATATTGTGGTAGTCAAAAAGAAGGTGGTAGAAAGGTACGGTGGCTACGATGGAATCGACTCTACCAAGACCTTCCAGGTTCGGCTTTAGGTGAGGGTTCAGGTGGCTCATTTGCTCTGGGACGGGAGGAATGATATGTCCGGTAGGAGATCGGTTTCTAGGATCTTACGGACTACCTCAGGCATCATCGCTTTGTTTCCTTCTGTTCAGGTCTCTTCGGTCAAATACTCGACACATGTGTCTTCGCTGTTTTTCTCTAGGTTTTCAGCGAGCATATCAATGAGAGTACCCTCAGAGACGTGATACGCAAGTTCTGTGCCATAGTCCTTGTGTGGTTGGGCCGCTTGACTACAACAGTACCACTGCCGGCCGGAAGCCGAAGGCAGACTGGTTAGTTGTGCTTGCCTGTTCAAGGAACCTTTGCAGCATTAGCGCCGTTATTGCCAGCCGGGGGTTGGTTCTTCGTTGTCCAGGGTGAGAGGCCAATAGGAGTCAACACGGTGTTGCATCAAAGCCTCAACCCGGACGACCCCTCATCTCATTCATTTCTTCTCGCATCACGATAGTCCTACCGCAACACTTGTTCTACTTGGCCTACACCACCCGAGCTCTTGTCTCATTTCCAGGCGTGGTTTTACTTTGGCTTTGCACTGCTCAACACAATAATTCCTCCAGCGGCAGATAGGTCCCGGTAAGCCACTGGCAGCGTGAGCTTAAGGCCTTCCAGCCGACGGCATATCCTCAGCTGCAATGATGTTGACGTGCGAATAGGATCTGTAGTCCCACTCAGAATGGCACTCGTGGAGCGACTACCACTCGAAATACGAGAACACATCTGCGAACTCATCGGGCATGTCCCTCACCCCTCACACGACTATCTGATCAACTGTTTTGATCCCCCCGAGGATCATCCGCAATCGGAGCCGTTTCCCGGACCGCCACACACCTTATACTCATCAGCTTACGCTGATCTTCGGGTATTATCGCTTGTTTCAAAGGCGTTCGCGGAGCCATCCCAGCGCGTCTTGTTCAAGACCACCGTGGTCCAGGGCTCTATTGGAATCATGAGCTTACTTCGGAGCTTACTCTTCTACCCAAAGAATAGGAACTACGTGCGACGTCTTGCGGTGTCTCGCAAGGAGTGCTGGAGGCTCCAGTACCCCGTTGGAGGAATCGTGCTGCGGGCGTTCATGAACATTTTGGGCAGAGATGTGTTCACTCCCATCTTCGACGAGCTACAGGACGCTAGCTTCTTTCGCGGGGTGGTGATGGCACTGTCAGCATGGTTGGGAGACGATTGCTTCTCATATAAGTACCGCTCGAAATGGAGATCTGTCCGTGAGAAGCTTCCGCAGCTCTCCCGCGACGCCTTGGGTGATTACGTCTTGAGAAGCATCGTCCAGCTCTGTCCACGTTATGGAAGCTCTCACGCAAGATACCTCGCGGATCACCGAACATACAACACGGTTTCCTCATGCCTCCCAGATCCCTATTCTTTTCTGGAATCACTCACGCTCGACTTGGTCGCGTTCCAAAAGAAAAGTGCCCTTGTTGTCCTCGGACCCGAATACACAGAATTCTGCCATCCCAACATCGAGTGCCTGACACTGGTCGGCAATACATGTAACGCGTATTCGGATCCTCCGCTTAGCCTCGGGAGTCTTCGTGGTTGGTTGCGCGGCCACAAAAGACTGCGTGAACTTCGAGTGCTACGCGGGGGCGACGACAATATCTACGTGGATTTCAAGCAAGACACAGTAGAAACAATTCCGAATTGGAACGACATCCTGCTCTCGCTCAAAGACACCTTGGAACTTTTCGTAATAGAAGGGACCAGATTAATGTACGATGAAGACGAGGTCATCTGGCGCCTTGGCCCTACCAAAATGCTCTCGTGCTTACCAGAGCTCAAAAAGCTGACATACCTTAAGACGTTCTTGCATATGCTTAGGGATGATAGTCCTGAGATTCATGTCCCACGGACATGGGACGGGCCGGGGGTGCTGGAGCTGGTACAGACCGGGCTTCCGCCCAGCCTGAAGAGGATAGATGTTGTGGTTGTTGAAGAGGTGTTTTCCATCGGTGAGCACCCTGACGTGGACGAGCTCGCCATCAAGAGATCTAGGACTGTGCGTGTCGACCTATAGATACGAACCGGCTTGGTCGCTTTCAGGGTAATGACACATTCATTACCTATGACCGCAGGTGTCAACGCTTGATGACCCTGGCGTTTGCTCCTTGTACAATGAAGTGTTCGAGCAGTTGGATGACCCCAAAGAGCATCTGTTTGCTGGGAGTCACGGCCAAAAAAGGGATTGGGATACCTCTACGCTGGAGTCAAACGGGAACGAGAATCCAGATGGAAAGATTACGCATGAGGGACTTAGGAGTGGGACTGCGAAGGATTTACATGAATCTTTCAAGGCGGTAGTGTATTGTGACACACCCCAGTGTAATGCTCTTGTCAATCTTTCAGGATTCTGGAGAAAGTACATTCCGAGTTCCATCTGGTTTTGCCGGCCGGGGTAGGCGCCTTCACAGGCAGGCTCCGGAGCCCACCCATTGGCCGGCTCATGATCCTGCCTGCCCTTTCAAAGTTTCAGTATGTTGGCCAGTCACGCTTTCCATTTTCTTCCGTTTGTTATCCAGGACGGAACTGGTCACATTGACTTCCCCCAGTGAGTCAGTACGCTGCTGCGTCAAAACCTTTGACCTCGCAGTACCTTATTTAAAGTTCTCGCCCCATCCTCCCTCGTCAACCGAAACCTTTCGCATTCGTCGCCCGGACCACTTGCAACCTGCACCTTGCAACCACCTCTACATTCGCTTTTACGCCTTTCTCCAGCCTGGGAATGATCCCAAACTCAGCTCTCTAAAGTCTTGCCAGTATGTGTGTGCATCCTTGCCCGCAACCTCCGTTTGTCTCGCAATGATTTCAGAACTATACTGACGCCAGATGCCAACAGTAGTGCCGCTTCATCGACTGTAAGCAACATCATGTCAAAGCGAAAGAGCGACGACTATGTCGAGAACATGGCGCAGGGAGATTGCAGCGCCTTCGTGGATATCCGGCCGCCATGTCTTCCAGGAACGACGACGATCGAGAAGCTTCCCATCGAGCTTTTGGAGAGGATCTTCGAATTCGTCGGCGAAATTGCTTACGTCTCAGGACGAGACCGGGTTGACTTTCCCGACGATGAAACACCGTGTCCCTTCATACCTCGAGATAGGCATCTAGAAGTCCCCCGTCGTACAGAGCCCACGCCTTACGACTATCTTCGATCGTCATCACTTGCGTCTAGAGCGTTCACGGCACCCGCACAACGGGCCCTCTTTAGGGTTAGCATGACGCGCAGCTCCATAGGCATGCTCCGTCTACTCCGTAGCTTGCTGGAATACCCGGCAAACCGGAAGTATGTGCAGTGGCTTGTGGCGTCTCCGCTGCCCCGCGAAAATCTTATCGGCCGTCAAAACCCTCCCGACATCCTCGATCCTATATCGGCGTCGGTACAAACTCTCGGCCCACTCTTACACACACCTGCCTTGGACCAGTTGCGGAACGCCTGCTTCTTCCGTAGCCTGTTGCTACCTTTTGTCTCGAGGAGTCCTGAATCGGTCAGCTCAGATACTGCTGCATCGGAAAGGCAGATTACCTCTACAGACACCTCGCGACCATCCCACTACATTGTGGGAGACCACATCCTAAGGGCGATCTTGGAGCTTTGCCCTCAGATCAGGGGGGCTAGGCTGTTCTATCGGAATACCTGGATTCATTGGGGATCGCGCCCTTTGACACCAAAAGCCTTTCCATACCTGACAGATGGTCTCTTAGGTCAAGATTGCTTCAGGCTCAAGTCCCTAACATTGGACGTCGGTGCACTCTCGTATTCACTGCTACAATTGCGTCAATGTGTACCTGGATACCCTAGCGGATGTCCTCCCACCGTCGAGTATCTCAAAATCGTGGGCAACGACGATGCTGGATTTGAGATTCCCCTCGACGACTTGTACGAATGGCTCAGCACCAACACAAAGTTGCGGGAACTGCGAATGCTTCAAAGATGTGATTGGTATCCCGGGGCTGGGCCCAAGAAGCATAACTGGAACACAATACTTCCAATGTTCAAAGATACCCTGGAGCTTATCGTCATAGACGGAAATCGCTACTTCGAAGGCACGCACTACGTGGGGGCTCGGTTCGGGCCCAGCGGGATGCTTGACTGTCTACCGCAGCTCAAAAGGCTGGCTTACCTGAAAGTACCCCTACACTACCTCAGGGACGATATGCCGGAATTTCAGCCGCCAAATAATGACTGGGAGGACTTGGGACTTGTCGTTCTGCCTGACGGCTCGGCAATGAACATGGATGAGTACATGACTGAGCTTCTGCAGGTGGATGATGAGCAGGAGGACGATGAGCAAGTGAGCGATGAGCAGGAGAACAATGAGCCGGACAATCGTCCGTCTTGGCATAGTGAATTGCTGGGCATTCGGATACACGGTCCCGGTGACGACCATAACATCCTCGGCCTCATTCAAGCTGAACTTCCACCGTCATTGAGAAAACTGGATGTCGTGGTCGTTGAACCAAGTATGGAGGAAGATGAGGGTTACGCGTGGAGGACCATTGAGTTTTCGTTCTAAACCGCATCGAATTTTGCTAGGACGCGGGAGGTCCCGGATAGAGGATATGAAACCTTCACAAACACGTCATGCGTTGGAATCTGGTGTTGATGCTGGCAGAGAGAGTTTGAGCACTTGGCTGATTCATGGGCCCTGGCCCCCGGGTTGACAAGAGCATGGAACAGTTCGAATCTTTGCCGGAATGGACTGTCATGGGAGGAGACAGTTAAGAATCATGGAAGTCACACACGTTTCAGATACAAAGGCACCCAACACTGGGGAGGTATACCTCAGTAGAAGTAGCATGCGTTGATCCCGGACTGAGATTAGGACAAGCAAACCCCCCAAAAAAAACTTTCAACTTTGAACCACTGGTGTCAACGAGCTGAACAGTCACCATATCTTATCTTCTTTAGCACAAAGTAGATACCATTCACAGAAAGCTGCCCAATATATATAATCAGACTTCGTTCTATTTCTACAAAATTACAGACACATTCTCTCACTTACATCACTCGAAACATTTACCAATACTTTTGTCGTCTCCCGTGATGTCCGCCTCCGTAGCGTTCAACACAACATGAATCCACCGGAAATCCACGCTGCTTCTAACGTTCGAGAATACCCTGGAGTTCACTAGCCCTCACGTCCAAGAGCTTCTCATACCCGGCCCAGCGCGCCCTATTCCAGGTCGCCGTCGTAAAGACCACCGGTAGTCTCATGTGCTTCCTACGAAGCCTGCTTGCTCGTGTCTCGCCCTCTGAGCAGGCAGACAGTTTTACCGAAGTCATCGTCCACCCATACCTGGATTCAGCGGCATCCAATACCTGGCAACCGGCCTACAAGGACCTTCGGGCACTGTCGCTTATTTCCAAGACATTCACCAACGCTGCTCAGCGCGCCTTATTCAAGGTCGCTGTAGTCAACACCTCCATGCCCTCGGCTTCAAGTCGCTTCGGTGTGCAGTGTGATCGTACAAGGAAATATACTCCGCCACTCAGACAGAACCGGGGACCTTGGTACAATCTCTTTCTGTCTCCCTTCAACTCATGGAGCAACATCGCCCCAAATCAGCCATAATCTAGATCGTCACCGACTCTCAGGAGTGCTGGCACCGCATCGACTGCGGGCTCAACCACAGGCCAGGCCTTGGCGGTTTTCTGTCCGATATGTTGCGCCAGTCATGTTTTCCCTTGGCTAGTTCATGGCTCGCTGGGTACGGTAACTTGAGGAAATGAAACAAGTCAAGGTTTTGGAACAGTGGACTCTCATGGGGAGATAAACTTTTGAGGAAACATGGAACTGTCACAGGTCTCAGATACCTTGAGAAAGACATCAAGAAGAGGCAAGGACACATAGTTAAATAAAGCTACCGAGAGCTGGTCTAGGATAGAGATCAGCAGTACCTAGTTGGTTCATTTGAGTAGGACATGGAATAAACTCCACAAACGTCCGACTTCAAACCACCTGGATGAACTTGAACCTACCAAAATACACGGAAAGTGCTTATAGAAAGGAACGAGGGATAATATCTGGACTTCGACGAGTCACAAGGAAGCGAGTTCATTACGACCGTGTAAACACGCATAGACGGCCATTCACGGTCTCACTTGTCCACAACCACGACTCTTGGCAACGACAGTGTTGAAGAGGTCATCGTGGGCGAGTCTGCACGGTCCTCAGTTCCTTCCAGTGAAGGGTTGAAGAAGGGTTGAACCTAAGATAGCTGCCGGCCGGGAACAAGGGCGGCAAGAGCCGGCCGGGAGTGGGCCCGTTCACAGTGACTTGCTCCCGCACATTCACCGGCACTTGACCGCCCCTGGGCCCCTTCACGGGCCGATGACATTTGGGATATCCCGCCCATCCACCCGGAGCCCTTCACTGATCGGAACCCTTCACCTGACCAGAAGAACGCTTTACTGGGCGACGACTTCTGTAATATTTAATCGTCCGGCCGCGGGGTGCCCCTCCTTCCAACTTCTTCCACTCAACATCTCCATCCGCTCACCCTCGATTTCCTCTGGGGACTGCAACATCAACCACGCAACTCCCCGCATCAGGCCTTCTTGCGACAACGTCGTCATTCAATCGAGCCTCATCGCCCCGTCTTCCACGAAAAGACCGAACGAAGAACAGCTGTGACATTACACCAGCTGTCGCAGTCAACTAGCCTTCTTTGCGCGACGAATTGACGACTGACAACTTCCTTCAATCCCGCGACAAGTTCGTCCAGTACCGGCAAAAACACAATCCCGACGCTTATAAAGTTGAAAGCTCAAGCTCGTAGCATCGACTCGACAATCGTCACCGACTTGAACCCTCCATCTGATTCTGACCCAAGGCAACTTGCGCAACAGTCGCTCATGTAAGTTACTCCTTCAGGTCCTTCTTCAGCAACATCCAGATGATACCTGTTGCCTGGGCTAATTCTTCTTCATTAGAAAAGCCCCTCATATATTACGGTTCACGACAAGAAAGATCACCAGAGGCAACCCAGCCAGTACAACGAACTTACAATAACCAGCATTCATATCTTTAACAATGGCGCCTGTTGAGCAGCAAAGATCCCCTCCGGGAAGGGTGACGCTGCAGCAGCTCCCCCAGGAGGTGATTGAGACCATCGCCGAATTCTGCGGCGACATTTCCGGCGTCTCGCCCTCCGAGCAGACGGACACTTTTACCGAAGACGTCGTCAAACCTTACCTGGACTCAACGGCTTCCAACACCTGGAGCCCGGTATACAACGACCTTCGCGCCCTGGCCCTTGTCTCGAGGACATTTTCTAACCCGGCGCAACGTGCCTTGTTCAAGGTTGCTATGGTCAAGACCACCGGCCACCTCATGCGCCTTATTCGCAGCCTATTGCTCTACCCAAACAACAGACGCTACGTGCGTTGCTTCGTAGCCGCCATCAATGATCATGTGCGCTGGATGCCGCAGCGCCTCATCTCTCCTCAGCCCCTGGTTTTGGGTGAGTTTCTACACTATATATATCCCCTCTTGCCCACCGCCGCTGTCCAGGGCCTCCCCCACGACAGCTTCTTCCACCGGATAGTTCCCCTGTTTCAGGAAACTTTGAAGGCTCTGAACGACAATAAACTCAGAATATCATTTCGACTCATTGACTCTATGGTTGTCAATCTGCACACCCTTGAGGACCAGCTCCTCACGGCCACTGTTCAGCTTTGTCCTAAAATCACAGCCACCCGTATTTGCTTCTACTTACCCCACCGCCATGCCGAGAGGGGACCGCAACCAACGAGCCAGCCAGCGCCGAACCCGCCCATTTACGCCAGCCTCCTGGACAATCACCACCTCCCACAGCTGAAGGCTCTAACCCTTGACTTCGGCGCGCTCCTGTCGTTGACTAACCTCATACAATACGTACAACCCGGCTACCCAACCGGCTTGCCACCCTCCGTTGAGCGCCTCACGCTCGTCGGAAACAAGACGGAGTCGGAGCTTCCTTATCACCTCTTCGACCTGAATATCTTCGCTAAATGGTTAGGCACAAATAAGAAGTTCCGAGAGTTGCGCATGCTAGACGGCTTCGACAAGCTTATTATGTACCATCGGTTCCGGAATTCTCATCCCCAGCCAAAGAATTGGAACAATATCCTCCTTTCTTACCGTGACACCCTCGAAGTCCTGGTATTGGACTGTTACAGTTCTACCTTCGCCATCCCGCAGGGGCGCTTCGGGGCATCAGGAATGCTCGATTGTCTCCCCGAGCTGCACAAGTTGCGCTATATCAAGGCGCCGCTCCATGCTTTTAGCGGTAATCAGTTCGGTCTCCCTCTGGATGTGGAGGATTGGGAGGTCACTTGGTTGATGCGCACTGGACTTCCTCCTTGGTGTAGGAAGATTGATGTGATGGTCAGGAACCCACTTCAGTGTGGCAGCGGCGGGGAGAGGATGCCGTCGACGTGGAGGGTGGTTGAGTTCCGGCTGTAGTGCCAGCTCTTGTAGCCACAGAGCTCGGAAACGTTTTGAGACGGTGTGGGCGGAGCTTTTGTCGAGTGAGATTCACCGAGAGTCCGAGACAATAGGCTGATAGTCAGCTCTAAGACGTGCAGGAAGTTTACTTGGACAGAGTATGATGTACTGTTCCCCGAGCAAAGGGATGAAGTTTCTGGCGTTAAGGCGGCGAAAATGTTTGAAAGAGCTCTTTGGCTTCGATACAACTATGGTAACTAGGTAGTGTTCCTTTGATACCGCGGTTGTCGATGCGTAACTACTGGGCATGGGCACTTCGTGTTAGACTGTTAGGGAGACCTATCACAGCATCTCGCCCTATGACAAAAGCATTATCCCCTAAATAGCTAGAGGTAGCCTTGAACGAATCTCAATGGTCAATTTCAGACAGATTATCACTGTTTTGTTGAAAATATTGGTCAGTGTCCGGGAAAATTTCGGTACGTGTAGGAAAAGGGGTGAGTGCGCCTATGTTTACACCTGTATAACCGCATATCGGCCATTGTCTTGTCTGAAAAGGTAACCCCGAGCTACGCCAGGGTTGAACTGTTCATCGTGAGCGAATCTGTGTGGTGATTAGTTCCTTTGAGTAAGAGTTTGAACCTGAAATCGCTACCGGCCGCGTGCATGGGCCGGCCGGGGCCCGGGATTAGAGCCATTCACTTCCGGGCTCACCAGCACCTTCGCCAGCACTTCAGGTTGACCGGGCCCCTTCACTGGTAGAGGTTATTGACCCGACACTACTTAATCTTCCCGCGGGCCGTCCTCGCCAATCTTCTCCCTTCAACAAAACACCACCTCACGCTCGAGTGCACCTAGGAACGCAATCAACCACACAACTCCCACCCACGCGCATTTGTGCGACAACGTCAGCGATTACATCGAACCTTATCAATCAGTCTTTGATAGAAACAACAGAAGTTGCAACATCATACCGACCGTCGCAGAGTCGAATACTTATCGCCACTCGACGACTCGACGCGACGACTCTCCCCACTCCTTCGACGATTCTCTTCTCCTCTTCGACGACTCACTTCTCCCCTACGACGATCCACTTCTTTCTTGCAACGATTCGCTTCTCTTCTGCGACAACTGGCTTTTCCTCTGTGACGAATTCCTCTGGATCGGGTGTCGCCTCTCGGGTGTCCTTCTTCGCACTCGCCTGCCGATACCGACGATTCTGGAGCTGCAAAGTCGAACACCTCTTGTCGACTCGAGCATCGACCATCAAGTCGAGACCTGAACCTAGTCCTGAATGATATATACCTGGTATGTTGCCTCTTCCTTCTTCATGGACGCTCCAAACTGTACTTTACCTATTGCCTGAGCTAACCGCCAGCCGTCTTCTTAGAACACGTCTACAACGATCAACAAGAAACAAGCTTCATAAGCGTACGCGACCCGATACCACAAACGTCCAACGACGAATTCCCTCGACAATGAATCCCGTTAAGCAGACAGCATCCCCTCCGGGAGCGGGATGGGCACCAATTGAGTGCCTTCCCCAAGGGATACTAGAAAGGATTGCCGAATTCCACGGAGACATTGTCGGTATCTCCCCCAACGAGCAGGCCGGCACATTCACCCACCCCCACATCGATTCAGCTGCCTCAGACACCTGGCAGCCTCGGTACAATGACCTTCGATCACTGGCGCTTACTTCCACAAGCTTCGCTTACCCGGCTCAGCGGGCCCTGTTCCAGGTCGCCGCCGTAAAGACTACGAGTACCCTTATGCGCCTTGTACGGAGCTTGCTCCTGTATCCGAAGAATAGACGCTACGTACGCTATCTCGTAACTTTTATTACGGACTACGTGCGTCCGCTACCGATCAGATTCATACCCCCCCAGCCCTTGGTATTATCAGAATTCATGCGCAACATCTACCCACTTCTTTCGACTCCCATCGCAGACGCTCTTCCCGAGCACAGCTTCCTCCGCGGGACCTTGAAAAACAGCCTTGACACTCTGATCGCCACTGATTCCTCAGAATGGGGCGGTTTCCTGATCCACATGATCGGCCAAACCGGTGTGAATTTTCACACCATAGAGGATCAAGTTCTCACGACGGCCCTACAGCTCTGCCCCCGTCTCGCGGCTACTCGCCTTTGCTTTGGTGAGCCCAGGCGCCATTCCGAGGGCCCGGAGCCTGCCAACCAAACTGCGCCAAACATCCTCATTTATTCCAGCCTTATCAACAACTGCCCGTCGTACCTCAAGTCCTTGACTCTCGACTTTGGTGCCCTCTACTCCCTCACCAACTTCAAGAGCCATGTGCCCGGATACCCACCCGGCTGCCCGCCCTCGGTCGAGCGGCTCACCCTCGTGGGAAACAGGGTTGAATCCGAGCTGCCGTACGAGGCCTTTACCATCGAAATCCTTTCCGCCTGGTTGGGAACAAACATGAAGTTGCGCGAGCTCAGGCTTGTCGACGACTTCGACAAGATGATCCGTTACACGGACATCAGGGAGTCCAACAACGCCACTAGCAATTCCGAACAAGTCAGAATGCCCAATTGGAACGACGTTCTACGTTCGTACAAAGACACTCTGGAAGTGTTAGTGATGGGTTGGGACCGTCCTTCTGCCATTGGCATGAAGGCCCGGTTTGGGGCCTCGGGCAAGCTTGATTGCTTGCCGGAAATGGGCAAGCTGAGGTATCTGAAGGCGCCGTTAATCGCTCTCGGGGGTAACGATTTCATTGTGCCTTTGGGTCCAGAGGATGGCAAGCTCATTGAGTCAGTCAGGACTGGGCTTCCAGCTAACCTGAGGAAGCTCGATCTCATGGTGGTCAACCCGCCTCAGACTCGTGCGGAGAGAACGACCTTGAAGTGGAGGGTTGTTGAGTGCCGGCTTTAAGGTCGGCTACGTCTTCGTGAGAGGCAGGCTCCAGAAACGGAACATTCGCTGATGCGAACTTGGAATAAGCTCGACTCGGATGCCAGAGAGCAGCTGGAGGAAGCCATCACCATGGCAGCAAATGCTGCCGAGTAGGGCACAGAAAATCTGATGACATGACTGGGCATGGCATGAAGGAACCGGGCAACTACCAAAGGACGACGAGCGATTCATCGAGGGGGCACCTGTAATAGGGCAGCCATGGAGATGGGGTTTCCCGTCGGACCCGAAGACCCAGGTCGGACTTGCTCACACGCCTTTGCTTATCAGGCAAGAACGTGTCGAGTCAGGTTTGGTAACGACCTAGTCAAGTACGTAAGACAAACTCCGGAGAGTCTGTCACGAGATAGCTTTTCCCGGTCATCAACGAATTGATCATCGTTCAGGTCATCTTTGCTTGTTGCGGTGCCTAACTTATTTTGCACCTTCCAAATAGTGTCCAATAGGAGGCGTGAAGCAGAGGGCGAAGGCATAAGCGAGAGGAAAGGGGCGGTTGAATGGCACAAGGAAGAAGGAAAGGATGGGTTCAACGGCAGCCTCCAGGGAACTCACCTGCCGGCAGTTTCGAAGATGGATGATATGGTGTGATGTGATGTGGTCAGCCTACCGCAGCTTTGAGACCTATGGCTGCTCTACCATAAGGAGAAGCGTTTTACTACCTTTCTCCATGTCCCTTTAGTGGACCTCAGGATGCAGAGCAGACTATTCTGGTGGCTAGTGATGAACAAATAGAGATTAACTCAAAAAGACTTGTAAAAATGTACCAAGAGATGCTGCTGTAGAAGCTGTTTTCAAGATCGTGTGTAAAAGTGATGCCTTTAAGACATGGAAAATCAGCGGATTGAGAGGAAAACCTGATACATACATCTTACTCCAATGTTCGCTATCGTATGCGGAGCCCCATTACTCCTTGCTCAATGTCTGCCGAAAGCCGGGGAAATTACGGTGTCTGAAGCTGCCATTGCATTCGCTCGCTTACATGAAGCCGTTGAGGGGTAGCGATGAAAAGGTTGTTGAGTGTATGGATAAGAGACTTCCTCCACGGTTCAGGCGCATGTACGTGATGGTTGTTAACCGGCCTGAGAGGGGAAAGGAGAAGGTGGCTGTAAGGTAGAGGGTGATTAGGTGGCGCCGGAATTTGTCGACATCGAACGCTGAGTGGGAGACCAGTGGATGGTAGGACAGGGCAAGAGGAAGCTAGTTGAGGACTCAGAACTATTAGGTTCCACGGAAGTGTGGATGATGGAAAGCCTTGCTGTTGGATAAAATGAAGTTTCGAATATAGTAGACGTATAAAACAGATGATACATGCCATTTTTTCCTGTTCAAATCCCATGTGATGATTGTGATCTTTCTGCCGTATGTCCAATGTCTAAGAGATATGAAACCCAGACTTGCCACACAGTGTGCCGGTACCTAGGTAGTGATGTGCCTCCTCCTCGAACTTTCAGTAGCCCCTCGTCCACGTGAATGTCTTCACCTTCGTTGGAAACCACCCGGCCTCTTCCGCCATACGTGCCTCATGCGCCTCAATTTCCGCACGATCCAGAGAGACGTACTGGCTACTCTTGGCCCACCGCTCTCTTGGGTCCTTTTTCTTGTCAGCATCCTTCACGAAGTAATACACCTCTACCTTTTCCAAATTCCTCGGGATTTCCTTTCCCCCGGCCGCCTGTCGCAGCTTTTCCCCGACGTTATGGTGGGTCCCTTTTCCTGTACCCAGCGGTCCAGCTAATCCTTTCATAGACTGGATCATTGTCCTCTTAAAGGCACGGCAATGGAACAGTGGTACGTATGGGTCATACAATACATCATCCGGGTCCAGCTCCCCTGGTAGTTCTTCACGTACTAACTCCCTTAGTCCCTTCGCCGTATCCGGAAAGGCTGCTGGCGATAGCGGGAACAGATCCACCAGTGGAAGCTTCAAGTACCGGAGTTTTGGGAGTTGACCGAGGCAGCTAATAGTCTTGTCGGTGCCGTAGCGATATACATTATCGGGCCATGTGTTCCTGTGCCCGTCGTCTGGCGGACACGGGTTACCGTAGCCGGAAAACTCGAGGTGGACGAGCTGCTGGAAGTGCGGGAGAATGGTGTTCCAGTTATTTTCGCACACGGCTTGGGCAGTAAACAAACGGCTGGGCTCCATGAGACCGGAATGGTCGAAGCCTCCCAGGAGGCGGAGCTTGCGGAGAGACGCGGAACAGGGCATGAGGAAGTAAAGGAGGCCGTCGAGGCAAGAAGCAATGTTTGGTAGGAGGCTGTGTTGGTCATCGTCGTCATCGTCATCATCCTCGTAATCTTCGCTATCGAAGCTATCGTTGAAGTGATCTGGTGGAAGGAAGTTTCTGCTGAGGCTAGCATCCTCGTGACGAAGAGTCAGATCCTCTACCGTCGGGGGGCAAGTTACTCTGCACGCGCACATGCTTTTGTCCCCGAGAAATTTAGGCGTCCTGGAGAAACAAGCGATGGAGGCTACATCCAGATCAAGGATGCGTAGATGGTTGAAGGCTATCGCGGGATGCCGGCGCCGGGCCCAGGCAAGCAGAAATCTGGGCTGGGTTCTGGTGTAGTAACAGGAGGAACCAGACCACTCGCCCATAATCTGGACTTTGAAGGACTGTATGTTCTGGCAAAGAAATATGATGGCTCGGGTGACCGTGTTGTAGCCGCCCTGCGGGTATTCCCCAAAAGACCACTCTGTCTCCGTAGGAAACGGGTCAAGTTCCTCTTTGAGATCGTCCAAGAGTGCGGGAGGAAGTTGTGGGTTGCATCTCTCGCCCCTGTAGATGGTGTCGAGAACCTTGGACATGTCGACGAAACGGGGTTGCTCAGGGCCATCGGGATGCGGTATTTTGACTGGGGGGCGCACCTCTAGATGCCGAACAAGCTCCCGATTGTGTGGGAACTGCAGCAGGCTCCTTAGAAGCAAAATGCTCTTTTTGTAATCCCCGAGCACAATGGAGTTGTACATTGCCCGTCGTGCTGAGGGCTGCATGGTCTTGGATGTTAGTGCTAGAGCTCGAGCGCCACAAGCCCTTTTCTCCTCAGTCACGGCCATATCACAGATCTTGGTTAAAATCTCGTTCGACATGCGCTCCATTGGGGGGTGGTCCACGGGGCAAGAAGGAGGATTTCCAGCTCTGTTGCCAAAGGAGTTTCCAGCTATTTGGGGCATGGTGGCAGCGAGCTGGGTAATGGGTGCGAGAGAGTCGGACATTGTGGTTGAAGAATCGGAAGTGGCGATAGCTGCGTTGGGATTGGCGATAGGGGTAGTAGGCATGGTGATCAACAATGATTGTGTCGTGAGAAAGTTGAGAATGTCGAGAGCGTCATTGTAACGGATCTAACTGCCAGAGTCAGGAAAGCCGAAAAGTAGAAGAAGTGAACCAAAGAGGGGAACGAGGCCTTTTTATCATTTCAACGAGAAAACCTTTTCTTGCCAGATGTGCAGAGACCATGGACCATGCCCGCCTCGGCGGGCATCTTGGCTGTCGAAATAGTTCTTGTATTGACTGCAACCAGCTGATGCATAACGGTTGATACCGGGCTCAGAAATATGCAACTGCGCTTCATTCACCAGTGCCGTGGACCGAAGACGTCTCGTTGAGGTTGAACAGTGGCCATATAACGGAGGAGAATAGACGTACAGAAGTCGACGAGACCGCCACTGGGACCGAGAACAACATCATAGTACAGACTCGCTGTAGTCTCCCTTGTGATCATCACGATGGTAACCAAGATGACACTTGTTCACCCAAAATGCTCTCTGGAAGGCAAGAGGGTAGGTATGCAGTAAGTACTCGACCTGGAAGAGCTGCAGCAGGAATGTTATCATGCCGCTCAAAACCGGATTCCACAGGTAAGGGGAAATCCTCAACCGCGCCGGGAAACTGTGTCTTCGTCTTTCTGTCTTGTCCGGCGGCGAGTCGGCCGCGGAAGTGTTATCAGATCTACAACATAAAGTTAGCCAAACAAGGTGTTCTTGGGCATCCCCTACACCGAGATTTTAACAAGCAACCTCACCAGTTCAAGAGGACCAGTCCCACTCACCGGCGATACGTCCTGAAAGCCGAAGGCATGACATCCGGTCCCGACTCCGGGGCTCGGACCTCTCCGCAGGGACATTGCGAGTCTTCTCCCTGCCGGCCTACCGGAGGTAGAACAAAGCTCCTACCGCCCAGCGCCGACAGCTCATAGATTCGTCAACCACATGCTCCTCAGTCTGCGATGTGACTGCGTCAGCGATGACTCGGATGAAGAAACTCGCAAGGTGGCAACCTACAAGCATCTCTGAATCTGTGGTACCGACGCACAAGTGGGGCTGAGGAGCTGAGCAGACAGACATGGGTGGTGGATGTTGCTGCCCTTGGCTAGTGAAATATAGATCTCACATCATCTTCTCGCCCGCGGCGCCGAGAGTCCGTAAGCTCCGCTTTTGGAGCGAGCCGGTGGTGTAAGCCGCATGCAGGTACCACCGTCAGGCAGCACACTGTGGAACATGGCGCGTGAGGCTGGGAAAGGAGAGGTTGCCATAATCACGAATATTGAAGAAGGAAATGTGGCAAAATGTTGAGATCGTGATGCGTCCATGTTGGTGTTCTGTGGGAAAATTGGAGGCGCGGGCGAGGTGCAGTTCAGTTCAGGGCAGTGAGGCCCAGCGACCATCCCTGCCGGTCGTGGGTTCCGGTGATAAGGCAATGCATATGCGAGACCCAAACGTGATTTTTTGAGGCAGGTGCAACCAATAACACAAGACGGTATCTGCATGAGAAACTTGGAAGGAACTGAACAGATTTTTCTCGAGGGTCATCCCCGGAGAAAGAGCGATATTTCAATGAGTGTCCTCGTTGTTGTTAACACTAACACGACGAGAGCCCACGGGAAGGTGGGTCCGCCATGGCGTCTTATTAGGCCATAGCGCGCCACCAGGGTTGTAGAAAACGATCCTCGGCATGTTTTTGTAATTGTAAAATTCTCCAATAAAGTGTATGATTTTGTATTCAAACTGATCTATGGATCAGTTCTTGTCTAAAATATCAACATTTAGGGACATTCTTGTTCGATAACATAACCTCAATGATAGTCCTTTCCTTAAATTTATCCTCGATAGAAATATTTTATTTAAGGGATTCCCCTAAGGATCATTTTCGGAGGAGGCCATTTTATCCAAGTAAGATATTTTGGTCTGAGAAAGGGGTTTGGGTCCATCCTGGAGATGGCCTTACCGTTTCAAACTGATCCATAGATTAATTCTACGCCAAAATCGTCTCAAAATGTATTTTACAGTTACAAGAACATCCCGAGGATCGTTTTCTACAACCCTGGTGGCGCGCTATAGTATGAGTGTCCATCACCGGACGAACACCTGGAAGCGCTGAAGCCCCTGAAGCCCCTGTAGCCCCGAGATCCCACGATGACCGACGAGGCGCCTCACAATCATCAGCAACAGGAAAAAAAAGATGATAGTTTGTAATTATTGCTGTAGAATTACTCTATCCAAAATTCTGTCCAAAGGAACTAAGTAGTGAGGTGACTCGCAGAATTCTTAGTTACAAAAAAGAAGAGGAAAACACCAAACCGCCAAACCCCACATCTCGCGATGCTTGCAGCCCCGCCTGGCGCTTCTAAAGTTCTACCCCAAAAAAGACCACCATCTAAAAGCACACAACCACCACCGTACAAACTCATTAGGTACCAGCCCTTTACCACCAAACACTCCAAACACCACAGAACTCCGTAGAACGTGATATCCAAAAGACAAAAAGCCGCCTATGCGAACCCAACAATGTCCACTTAGTTGCCGTCGGCACCATCCTCCACGTTGTTATACCCGCTCCTTCCAGACCCCGGAGTGCGCTTGTTGTAGCCACTGCGACCATCGGTATCAGCCTGCTGGTCGCGGACCTTGTTGTAGCCACTACGTCCATCGGTATCAGCGGACTGCTCGCGGGCCTTGTTGTACCCGCTTCTTCCACCGGTGGCAGAAACAGTACCATCATCTTCGCCGATGTCATTATATCCGCTCCGTCCACCGGGGGTGCGCTTGTTGTACCCACTCCTACCATCGGTGTCGGCGGACTGCTCAGCTTCCCGGGCCTTGTTGTACCCGCTCCGGCCACTGCCGGTGATGGAGACCGCGGTGCCAGAAGGCTCAGGATCTCCGCAGTTGTAGCCGCTTCGGCCGCAGTCGGGGTCGGTGGCAGAAAGTGAGTTGGAGGTGGAGGAGGGAGGAGTAGGTAGGGCGGCGGTGGAGGCCGCGAGGAGGAGACGGTCAGGAGGATGATGTTCTTCATTGTGACGAGTTGGAAGAGTGTCTGCTAGTGTTGTTGTCGGTTGTAAAGAGGGATGAAGGGCTTAAAGGTTAAGGTAGGTGTCGACTTGTTGTTTCTGTTGCTGTTGTCTTTGTGTTGCTTGGAATGTTCGTTGGTGATGTCGAGAACCTATTCCAAAGACCAACAGCACCGCTCCTTATATATCTTTGCCCAACCCCTATCACGATGCCAGGCATGCCGTCGGTGTGATGTCCAAGATTATCCAAGCCTCTGTCCTCATCGCAGTCGCGCTCAGTAAGGACCAGGAAGTATGACTGATGACTGATAGGGAAGAGCCCCCAAATCGCTGCCTGAGGGCACTGTCACTGTGATGTATACACCGAATGTGTATTACATCACATCCTTCTCCCAGATGTTGACGCCTTGAAGGTTGGGGTCCATTGTTCGCTAAGCCCGACGGTAGTTGACGTCCGGGCATCTCTCACGGCTCGAGTCTCGACCAATTCGCTTGTCAACATCCGTGCCGTCGGGATGACCACCAATGGAGAGGCCCAATGCTGAGGTCATCACAATTGGGAGATTGGCACTAGGGCCCTCCTTGACTCGTAAAATGGGGGTCCCTCTGTGCCATAACGGTGGCCAAAGAAGTTAGCGCGGCACGATGAAGTATTATCAGGGACTACGCCTCCTAGGCTCACCAGTATCGCAGACCTACGTCGGTCGCAACCGAGCGGCGCAAGTATTTGTCGTTCGTCAAAACCTTTTGGAGCCTCAGTTCCATAATGCCGGGAAGAGGCACACCGGGGCCAGTGTCCACTCCTGGTTTTCTCTCCAGGCCAACGCCGGTGCGCGCGATGCCAGAGCCAGGACTCCCTCCTCCCACGGACCGATGGAACGGTGCGCCTCCCGTCAGCCATACACACGGGGACGGGGAATGATGCCGGCGGGAGAAGTATGCAAAGAATGCTCGAAGCTTGAAGCCAGTTCTGGTCTAGGACTCTCCGTAATTGGAAGCCTGGCGTCGTTCCCCCCACCGAGAATGGTGGTACTGTACTTGCTGTGTCTTGTTCTGGAAGGTCATTATCGTAGGGCTGCAGAGTTACATCGGTAATGACGGTGCTCAGGGTGCTGTGACACACACCGGCCTCGGATCCTCCTGGCAGGGTCTCGGAGGAATGCGAAAAATCTCGTTTCTGCGCTTCAAAGTTCGCGATTGCAATCGCATGGCTCAATTGAATGTGAAAATGCTCGCAAGGTGTCGGATCCGCAGGAGCATGAATTTTTGTGTTTTTAACGAATTTATCGAGAGATCGGCAACTTGTTGGTGATAGTTCTGTGTCGTTGGTGATGGAGGCTGGAAGGCGACAACGAAAAGGGCTTGATTGTAGTTGTCTAACGGAAGAGGAGAAACGGAAACCAGGGCAGCCTAAATACCTGGAAGGGAGTGCCGGTAATGGAACGGCCCAGTGAATGGGCAAAGCCGGTGAATGGGGGGCCCAGGGCACGGACTTCCAACAGTTGGTGATGGTTTGGTGATATTGATTTGGTGATGGCCATGATGTTGACCGAGGGCGACAGGATGTGGCGGGACGCTTGGCCCTACGCGGGGCCCCCACTTTCAGGCAACACTGAGCCGCTATCAGGCCCCTGAAAGACACCGAGTTTCAGTGGTAAGGTGTGTGGCTTAGGGGGCTGTGTAATTTTACGCCAATAACGCCATCCCGTCGGACGGGAGGGAAAGGGCCGTAACTTTGTTGGTGATTTACCGTACTTTGTTGGTAATTCTGCCGCCGTGACGGCCGGCACGGGCCCAACGGCAGTTTTTTTGGAGCAGGACAAAACATTGCACCGGGTTACAACAAACATATGAATCGCTTCAAATGATAATACGATTGGCAAATTCCATTCGCTGGTAATCTGCACATTCCTGAAGTTAATCGGCCAATTCGAATCGCTCGCCGGGCTTCAACATGTACCAACTGAGCGAGTGTCCTTGAAGAATCAACCACCGCTGAATCTTACAGTAACTTTGGTAATCAACTATGTGTCTCACATTCCACAGCACTGTGACCAATGGCATCCCCATCCGAGGACCTCGGACTCCAATCTTCGGCACAACTTGGTGTGAGAAACACTATGGCTTTTTCTAGAAGGATGGAAATGAACTGTGCCGCACCAGCCCGGAATTACTTTTGTACAACGTTGTGCAAGCGAACTGCCTGGACTCCCGGGCCGTGTTCTAATGCTGGCGCTCGAGGAAAGCCCAGTTATCCCGAAGGCGCGGGATGGCTGGTATTTCCTGCAGGGACTGCCACTCCCGTGGAACGGAAATCTTTGAAGCTGAACATCAACCATCGTAATTCTTTGTCTTCGACCTATTAATGTTGATGAAAATAATAAGGAGAAACCCGTCAATTGGCGGTACTCACGATCTAGATGGGCCAGGCTGCCAGATGAAGTGCTTCCAGGTTATTATTGCCTTGCATGGGAAACAGCGCCCATCGCAACTTCCACGCTCGCTTGCATGATCTGATGCAGGAAACCACGATCGCACAAGGGTTTCCAACGACTTGCGGAGGAAGAGTAATAAAGATAACCACAGGATCATGTCACATCTCTCGTGGTAACCAGAACACTCCACGGCGCTTACAACCACTCACGATCATCACCCAATAACCCCGATCCCTCTCGGTAAGATTCCCCTTTCTACAAGCCTATCTTTTCCATTCCGCCAAACACCAGAACCGATGTTCCATCGCCAAGCTAAGTCAGCAGGCAGTCAGCTCAGCCCTACCCGACGTTGAGTGACTACAACGTTACTCATCGCGCTTACCTCGATACCTGCGTTCCACTAATCCCGGCATCTCAGTCGAACCCACGGGCGACATCACGCCTTCTTCACCAGAACGGTAAAAGTATACGTGTTCTGGACCCGTGCCTGCCTCGCACTCTCTTCCTCCTTCAACTTCTTCTCCTCCTCTTCCACTTCCTTCCTTTTCCTCTCCTCTTCTTCTCTTGCCTTCTTTTGCTCCTCTTCTAGAGCCTTTTGCATCTTTGCTTGGGAATCGTCACTAGGGAAAACAGAGGTTAGCTGGGGTACTCCGTGTGGTTGAATGGATAAACGGACGTACCGGTTGTCGGAGTACGCCATGTTTGCGGATCTGGTTGGTTTGTGTTTGTGCAGACTCGAAAAGAAGGTGTATGTTATACTGTGCTGGCTGCTTTGGTGATGGTACAAGAAGCAAATCACTGACAGTCGGCAGGACAAGGATCTTTATACGTCTTCCCTCAGTTGAACAGCAACGGGACCTTGGACGTTTCCTTCAGAAAAGCCGTTTGTCTTGCTTCAGATGTGTTGGGTCTTTGAGGTCTTGGAGCAGCCATGCATCATGGTGTTTACTTCATCTTGTTTCATCAATTGCAACCGAGGAAGAGATACCAACGATATTCCTAGGACCTAGGCACATTTATGCCGTTTCCATGAAGCACAAGCACACTGACTAGCCCACAGATACAACGAGGGAAGCTTACTAAAGAACAAGAGAACAACTAGGGGCTCATTGAGAGAAACTAGCTTCACAAGCTGTAAACATATTCTTATGGCAAGTCGATGAACTCCGCTGGATCATCTTGGGCCTTTATCATTTCCTCGTTTGCGTTGAGCTAACTACCACGTATCATGGCAAACTTCCATTTCTTTTCTCGTCTCATTTAGAGAACAATCCTTCTTTCCCTTGATTATCAATTCCATCAGTACCTACGACATGGTCACGAGAGCTATCACAGCGGACGCGATCTTCAACATCCGATCGGATGGTACCCAAGCACACAGCAAGCTTACTTGCTCTTAGCAGCCTCCATCCTCTTCCTCTCCTCCTGTCTCTCTTTGTCGGCCGCCTCTCTCTTCTTGTTCTCCTCCTGTCTAGACTTCTCCCTCTTGATCTGCTCCTGTCTGGACTTTTCCGCCTCCTCCAATCTTCTTCCTCTTCTCCGCCTCCTTAGCAGCAGCGTCACTGGGAATCAAGGCGGTCAGTTTACGGTCCACGTAGAGAGCGAAATACGCAAAGAGGAAGAAAGCGAGTATGATGGAGGCGGGTAGGTAGTCTGGGACATACCGGTTGTCGGCCATTTTACTGTTTGGTCTTTGAGTATTTGTTGATGTATTGAGATGTTCTTGGTGGAAGTGGTCTTGTGGTTGCTTTTCTACTAGGCGCTTTGCTGATGTCAAAAGAAGGGAAACCAGAAACCAACTAGAGCATGGGCATGAGCTTTATACCTTTAGCCTCGGGGCAAACTGCTCTGCTTCACGGAACCGTGAGCGGGCATTTGTGAAGTTTTTTGCCATGCTTCATTGGGTTGGACTTTTGGGATTAGAGGAGCGTGCATCACCACCATGGTTCATCGACGCAAGCGAGGGGCTTGTTTGTCTTGCTCGACTATACGTGAGAGGTATACCTCGAACAATTCCACCATTCTAGACCTTCCAGTCCGTTTTCCTACCACCTGTTGCTTGTCAAACCGTCATACTCGACTCCCCTCGCGGTTCTCCAACTCACAATCAGTCCCATCTAGATTAGTACTGCACACAAGTCCAGTCACATACAAGTCAAGCAAAGCAAAGGGCCTGCCTGACAAGGCAAGTAAGTGTACTTTTGACTCAAGTCAAAGCAAGTAAGGGGGTTTGCTTGCCTTGTTTACTTTCATATCTCATGCCCTCCTATTTTCTCCGTTAGACTTACCTATCGCATGAATGCAGTATACGTTTCGCTACAGGAATACGGGTATAACCACAAGTATCAGTTGTCTTATCCCTCTCGGCAACGTCCAAGTGACTGAAAGCACATATTCCGTGACGACATGTAACGTTCAGAGTATATTAAAACTCATTGATTTACTGCAAGTAAACAAGGCAACACAAGTAACGATTTTAAACAACGCAACTAAGTCTTCATTTTGACAAGACAAGGCAACCAACACCCCTTACTTTCCTTGACTCCCCTTGTGTGCCATTCTGCAATGATTCCAGCACCCCACTGGGTCCTACACCTAACATCCTGACCTTCTCACCACTACAACAGAACAAGCAAACAATACTGAACCCTTAGTTCATGGCCATCCCCGTCGCCTTCTCCTTCTTCTTTACCTGTTCCTTTTTCTCTTTCTCCTTTTCCTTTTTCTCCTCCTTCTCCTCCTTCTTTATCCATCCCTTCTCCTGTTCCTTCTTCTTCGGGTCCTCTGGGAGTGGGTCACCTGGTCTGCTGGATAATGCAACGAAAAGAAGTTAGGATTGGGGTATTCTACAACAGATGAACAAGGAGAGAGGGAAGAGAGCCAGCCGCTGGCTGGGTGTATGATTACCTTACCCACGGGAGGGGCATGTTGACGGTTTAGGTGGGTTGGTTGACTTTGTAGATTGTGAAAAAGTTAAAGGTGATTGTTGATGTGGTGAGAAATGCGGTATGCTCTTGGAGAGTTTGTCACTGTTGCTTTTGATGATGGACAATGAGAAATTTGGCACTGGTCATGGGAGGGCAGTAGGGAAGTCTTATAGTTGTGATTCTCGCCATCGAGTTCGAGACAATCTGCATTCTGCTCAACTGTCGGCCGTGTTGGATGCTTGAGTTATGGATGATGTTTGTCCACCATCATTCTGTGCGTTGGGCATCTAGACTTAGTTCTTGTGACGCGCAAACTGTGGTGATGGACTTCATCTTGCCTTGTCGGGTCCAGTTGGCCAAGTCTCAGTACCTCTCGTCGCTCCAACGTTCCAGTCCTGTTGCCATCCCTCATTTTCCTTCTTGCCTATTGATTCCATCATGACATCGCAAACAAGATTGCTTGATCTTCAGCTTCCTCTCATCTTCTGCTCACCACCGCCACAGAAAGAATAGGAAGGCGCATCCTCGTTGAACCATCGATGCAGGACGAGATTACTTGCTCGTCTTGGCAGCTTCCTCCTCCTCCTTCTTCTTCTTCAGCTCCTTCGCCTTCTTCTTCTTCTTCTCCTGCTCCTGCCTTCTCTTCTCCCTCTCCCTCTCCGCTTCCTCGGCTAGGCGTTTCCGCTTGTAGGCCCTTGATGATGCATGACAAGGTCAGTATCTGAAAGAGTGAGAGAGGGATGAATCTGAAAGACCTCAGTAACATACAGAAAGATCGCGTCATGTTGGGTAAGAGCATTGGAGTACATGTTGACCGTCTTTGTGCGTAGGTGCAACGTCCTTGTCTGTTTCCTTCTCTGTGATTTTCGATCTCGCTTGTGACTTGCGTTGGAAGGCGCGTATCGATCGATTGTGTTATCGCAGACGGCGCGGGGTTTGACGGTTGTGGGTTCTGAGAAGAAAGTTCTTGCCTTGAAAACCCGGAGACCGATGACGAGACCGGAGATTTTATACTGGCATTTTGGAGAAAGGCGCGAGCACTTCACCAGTGACTCGGATGTCTGGAGTTTCAAGGACCTGAGTCAACTTCGTGCTTTCCTTCTTGCTATTCTGGAGTTTTGGCCTTGCTATTGTGTATTGGGACTCACTGTTATTCACCGTGTTCCATTGCAGGTTCGT